AAAGAAATAGGCCCCCCGAAAAAAAACATCGTCCGCGAACTCAGAGTCGAAACAAGCACGGCATCCCCTAACAATACTATAGGCTTCTTCGTACATTCGTTTCCTGGCCAAATAGAAAAGAGACCCCATAAGAGACCGCAAGCGGATTGCATCAATCGACCATGGTACACATAGCAGAATTCGGCGAACTTACTGGAGGCTGCTGCGTACTGATAACATTCGTCCAAGAACATGCGAGTATGAACGGAATTGGAGGCATTAGAGATGTCTCTTTGAAGGAGAATATAATCCTTTTGTGGTTGTTAGCACGAATCCATGCGCGGGCGGCGTGGATCATTGTCTCGGCCCCCGAGCAGATTCCCACAGCAACTTGTTGGAGAACAAGACGATTCTGAATACTTTCTTTGCCGAGAAGGAAAATCGTCTTGAAAACCAATTTACGCCAGATTGTCCCATGACGATAGGACGAGCGTCCTGGTCGAGCGGGACGGCTCGCCATGAGCATCTCTTTTGCCTATGCCCATCAGGGTCCCCCCCCAATCCAAGCACGGAGTGCCATGGGCGCGCGCCCTTCCGCAAGGAGTTGAACGAAATCTCGGATTAATTCTACGAAAGAATCTATATCCCCAATCTCGCCACACAGAAGTCGTAAGAAGTCGGCACGTGATCCTTCTGGACCTGGGCCTTTTTCAACCTGGAACGACTGAAGGGCCTTGAGGAGGAGGGGAGCGGCTATTTCGGGCGTATTTCCGGGAACAAGAGCGGGGCTCCTAGGAGGCATGCTTGGGGCAGAGAATTTGGCGGCCAGCTTCGCTTGCACAGTCGGAGTGTCGTGCACTGTCGTGCGCGTTCCCCGGCGAAAGCAAGCGCTGAAGAGCCTGTCCGGCTCGATCGATCATGATAAGACGTTCGACATTACGAGGCAATTCGCCTGTGGCCGGGAAGCGGCTTTCGGGGGCCCTTCTTAGTTTGCAGGTCATCTTTCTAAAGTGTGCGCGCTCACCTAATTTCCATCGAAGGAGTAAGACCCGTGAAAAAATGAGGGATTGCCGTGATTTCTGACCCCTACCAAATTGTCTACCCACAAAAGAAAAACTATGTGTGGGCATATGCGGGGGGGGGGGGTACTATATATGTCTATCTACATTTTTCTAGATATCTTTTACGGGGGAGTCCACGCAAGCGATATGGATTGGGTTTTTTCACCCTAGGCTTTTGTCGGGGCTTTGCCTGACAAGTCGATGCAGACAGCTAGGCGTGCTATTCACGCAGGGTCACGTTTGAAAGCACTGTGATCCAGTTTGTCGAGATGTCCGCCTCGGGAATGAAAAGCAGTGATACTATTCTGCTCCCTAGCTTGGCAAACATTCCATCAAGAACCATACGTGTAACAACCATCCTTCTATTCTCTGAGCCCAGCTGCGAAGTTCTCGGTTCTTGCCTTGACCATGATGTCCCAATTGTCGAACTGACAGTCGGCAGCCTTGAGGAGTCAGACTTCATCATGAGCTTCTACTTCGAGAAAGACAGAGCTGTTTAAGAAGTCCTCGTACTGTAACAAGACCTGCTTAACCAAGGCCCTCCCGCCAAAGTGACAGAGACTTGACTTCATTCAACTTTGACTTCGCTACTTCTGCAGGCCTTGTTCTCAAAGCGAAGGTCTGCACAAGCCACTCCAAGTGCACACGAGGAGAAGGTGAAGCCGTTGTTGTCATACTGAATGCCAGGACCATGGAAAAGAGTTCCAGTCAGCGGCATGTGTCCTCAACGAATGGTTATACTAGGATGGATATCTCTGGCTGGGAACTGGGCAATGATTGCTGCTGGAGCTGTTTGCCAGCAACCGTGAGATTCCACGTACCTTATTTAGCTTACAGACAAGCATCCACACGCGGACACGGTGAGGTGCGCGCTGCCCGAGTTGACAGACGCCTCATAGTTGCAGTGGTCCACGTCCACAACGAACCGTATCCAAATTGCGAAGCGCATCAACACACTTTCATCGAGACACTCCTTGTGAGCTGGCGTGGTCGCTTCTCAAAATGAAAGTCCCGTGTTTGGTCCTTGCATGACCCCTCATACTTGTATCTAGGGCCTGAGTGTACCCGAAAATGGACCACAAAACTAGAGAAACGTCATTCGCCTGATGTCTTATAGCCCTCGTGTAAGGGGCAGGACAAGCATGGCGCTGATCATGGGGCAGTTCGACTGCATATCTTACACTTGGACACTTCAAAAAGTTGCGTTCTGCTACCTGCATGTGTACAAGTACACGTGCTCTAAACCCTAAACCCTAAACCCTAAACCCTAAACCCTAAACCCTAAACCCTAAACCCTAAACCCTAAACCCTAAACCCTAAACCCTAAACCCTAAACCGCCTAAACCCTAAACCCTAATAGCCCACTGATCAGAGGGCTGCCCACATTGGTCCTTGACATGCTCGTAGGCTTCTTTGATGGTGTTGACCATGTCATCAACAAAGCCGTTGCGAATACCCGTGAGTGTCACCTGAGTGTTGCTGAGTCTGATTTCAAGCTGTCTGAGTCTAAGTCCCACAAACATTGTGCATCATGAGGTTGCCCAGTTACACTCCGGAATATGAACCAATGCACGAGCCGATTGGGGCAGAATATGGGTGGCACTGATTCAGTGTCAAGATTCACAGATGACTAAACCAAACCAACTGAACTGTCGCCGCCACCACTTTACAGTCCGCACTTCAACAATCACAGGCATTGTTGGCAGCATGCGTTGAGATGCGTGAAACTTCGAGAGCCAAGGTAAAAAAAAGGCTCCCCCAAGCCCGTTCCAAGCCCTTTCAACAGTTTTCTAACCAAACTGCGGACCATTCAAAAGTCTGTCCGGCAAGGCCCGCAAGCACAAATACTGCATGCGCAGGCACATGCTGAAGAGATCTGAAAAGCTTGACCATTGCTTCACCCTGGTTCTACATTGTGCACACACCAGTGTGCAAAACCTTCATTCAAGGAAACTTATGTGTTCCAAGTCTGGAAAGAAGGAAGAGCATGGTGGCAATGTGGCAAGGGCTACAGCGGCTGAGTCCAACAGGACGCATTTGGGGGTTGTTCAAGATTGGAGACCCCGTCTAAGAAAAGCATATGTGCATATATATATATATGTATATATGTATACAAAATAAAGACAAATATGCCCAAAAGATCGGAACCCTGATGTAGAGGAATCTTCATTTGCGTGGAGCCCTTGTCTGAGCCCTCTCCACTTCTGTCAGGCAGCGGTTTTCTGCAAGTGGTAGTCAAATGTCCAGCCTCCAAGCAAGGTGATGCGAACTCAGTGCGACTGCCGACCCGCGCTGACTCTCATACTGCCCTACGTGCTTCGTTTGCCGCGAAGATCCACGAAACGAAGCTTTGACCCGATACCTGGAGATGAACCCAAACCATCCGGGACGCTTGTAAAAATCCGCACGACCTTACGCTCGGCGCTTGAAGCCGAGCGACGCCCTGCTCGCTTTCTCGCGCGCTGCTGCAGCGCGAAGAGCGCTTCTTCGGAACAGCCCTGTCCCATCCCGTCTATTTGAACAGGGGGTTTGTCGGTTTGTCTGAGGGATCCTTGGGGTGCAGCTTCAGCGGCATTTTTGCGTGGCTAGGCTGGCCTAAACTGGACGCGATGTACCAAAAATCAGCAAGCAGGACCCTGGGACCGGCTCCTCATCGACCTGCAAGGCTTGGCAGGCCAGCACGTCCTTCCGAGGACCCTAAACCCTAAACCCTAAACCCTAAACCCTAAACCCTAAACCCTAAACCCTAAACCCTAAACCCTAAACCCTAAACCCTAAACCCCTAAACCCTAAACCCTAAACACCAAGCAAGATGCCCCTCCATACCTGCTACCTCTGGAAGATGGTGCCCCAGGTTCAGCGGATTTCAGCGGTCCTGCTCATCTGAGGCTTGCCGAGTTGGCTGCGCAAGCGCCAGCAGCAATAAGCATCGAACGCAGGTGTGCATGGCTCAAAGTTCCAGGAAGCTCTTAACTCGGCAGCGTGTTCATCGAATCTGCTGGGAGTTATGTGGAGATCAAGAAGTACATGCCAGCGCCATGTCGTTTCACGCCTCTCTGCCCGGGCCAGAACGGTGAGGAGGTATTGCAGAGGTTCAACGTTTCAACCTATGCCCGAGAAGCTGCAGACGACATCCGCCTCACGACAGGTCTGCGCATGGCAGGTTGCAACTCCTGTTTGGTCCGCGCTCACACGTAGATTCCAGCTGGAAGCACATCCACGGTCTCCAAGCAAAGCCTCAAACGGATCTCTCAGGCAGTGGCATTGAAGCTGAGACGTCAGTGTGGCATCAGCCGGCTTCCCTCTTTGCGATTATCAGTGAAATCCTGCGAAGCGCGAGCAAGCGGCCAATCAGCATCCGGGGTGTCCCACCTGGTCCAAAAGCAAGGCATCGGCAGGCGCTTGGTGCTTGCGCTTCCGATTGCTTCGGAGAACAAGTAGCTACTGGTGGTACTAACTCGTCTGGTGATTGCTGAGTGTCTGAGATCAGACATGGACAGCGCCCGTGGAACCAACAAAAACCGCACCCTGGACCACTTGCGTTCCAGGGCCGGCTGGCAGAAGCGACAAGGACATGAAGAGGACGGAGCTCAGGACTGCGCACCCGCGACAACGCAAAGCAGAAACCACAATCGACCCCTTCGCCTTTAAGATTTTGCCTGCCAGCTTCTTGTATGATGAATTGCCTGCCTTTGCATGTAAGGCCTACACAATGCAACCCATCACCCAATCACGGTATGCATCATGTGCAAGACAGACGGCTTCTCCAAGCCAGCCTCTGTCCCACGTCTGGCTGCGTTATGAGCCGAGCCTGGCGATGATGTTAGGTCGTCTCTTTAGATGAAGGGTATGTTCTGGCTCACTATATCTCAATATGTACTCTGCAGAATGTATGGCTGGTGGTTTTTGGCTTTATGGGCTTACAGTATCCTTTGGCCAACTCCCAGACAGCTGCCTCGTTGATAGAAGCCTGAATCTTCTTTGTCTTGGCTGGATCACCTGGGACACATCCCGAGTTCAAGGTGCAAAATGCCAGCGACATGGCGCCGTCAGAAAACAGGTGCCAGTAGCTGCCAGCCAAGATGTGCCAAAAGATGTGCCGAGTCACTTTTGCTGCGTACTGTGTATGTTGTGAAAGCGGTGAAGCAAGGTCCACCGACCGAGCTCGAGTTCTGTACGCCAGGTATTGCATAGCGCACGCAAGAACCTGTCCTGCGCAGATGGCCGAAGCACATCTAAGGCAGCCTAGTAACCTCCTGCCAGCTTTTAAGTGGCTGCCGCTACGTCACCACGCATATAGGGCCGAGAATGGTCTTGCAGTTGCATCTAGACGACGACAAATAACAACTTAACCATCTTGGCAGCCTCTTTCCATCATCCGCGTAGATGCTGATGTCCACGTAGTTAAGAGCGTCCACCAAAGTTGACACATTGCAAGCATTTGAGATATCGCATGTGGCCGGCGAGAGAAGATCAGCAATATTCGAGGTGAAGCAGCCTTTGCCCGCTGTCATCAGGTACTGCACCTTGCAAAAAACGCATCGGTTGCATCTCAACCCTGCTGGCATCGCCCGGAACTGCCTAATCCTGCATTCGGTTTGACTTTGACCCCTACCTCGGCTTGATAGATCTGAGCAAGCACAAAGCGCGCGAGCCAGCAGACATTGCCGCAGGTGGGCGCAGAAGCATTTGTGAACTGCAGATAGCCAAACTGGTCTGGGTTGTGCATGTACCTTGCAGCAGGGACGATGCTGGTGTAGGTGGCTCATGTTGGCTCTTGATTTCAACGGTTCTACGGCAGCACCGCGGACACTCGGGCCATGTGCGGCACCGGCACAGGACTTGCCAAAAACAGCGATCTAGGTTCTACAACCTCCCTAAACCCTAAACCTTGTGCCCGTCAAGAAGCTGGTGGCCCCCAAGATTTTGCGATGCTGCCTCGTAGTAGCAAGTCGGGGCCGCATTGTTTGCATCCACCAGGAACCTCACCATCCGTCAACTGAGAGCTTGAATCTAGAAACCGCGCTTGCCTTTACAGGACAATCCTGCATGTGGCTCGTACTCGCAGTGCAGTCTCTGCGGGCTTTTCCCTGCCGAGGGTGTGGGGGGATAATGACAGAGGACTAACAAAAGTTTCAGCATCCACGCATGACATGGAGTGTTTGTTATGCTCCGCCAAGCTGCACACATCGGAGGTCTCGTACTGTACTCTTAAACAGTGTTTCCACACGTTTCCCCACTCCCCCCCCTCTCTCTCCTCCCTCCGCCCCCCCCCCCCCCCCCCCCCCCACTCCGCCCGCCCCCCCCAACCCCCCCACCGCCCCTCGCCCCAGGCTGATATCTGATGCTCATGCTCGCCGCCGCGCATAGCTGTTGACAAGCCGTTTTGCAAAACATCTATAGAATCTATAAACTTCTACACGTTTGGCGTTACAACTCCCTTTGCATGAGTCCTACTGTGAGATCTCTGCGCCAAGAGCGCGGCTGGGAAAATCCATATCTGAGCTCATCGTCGCGGATCACTTCGTCGCACAACCATTTGATGAACCTGAGCGACGATGTCGGCACAAGATCAAGCACAACGCTGTGCTTCTATGTCCCCATATACCTTGAGGGGTTCCTATAAAATGGCAGGCGGAATGAATGTCCAAAAGCAGCTTTGCACCGTTAGCCCTAAACCCTAAGCCCTAACCCTAAGCCCTGAGTACAAGGAGCGGACTACATAGTACGGAGCAACGAAGCAACGGAGCGAACAGTTTGGCGGACGTCACTGTTGTTTCACCAATAGAGTCTTCTTTTGCATTCTCACTTGTCCAGAGCCTGGGGCTGGGGTTTGCTGTTGCAGGCGCCTGGCTTTCCTGCCCTTCGCCCTCACGTACTCCCCAACAGTGGGACTTTGCGACACCAAAGGCAACTGTTCAGTGGCGAATGTTCGATGTCTACATCGCACAGACCGAAAGCCAGCGTCCCGTGCACATCACAATCTCCCTCTCTCGACAAGACCAATACCTTCAGGAACCCCCTAGGTCCCCCTCTGTCTTGTTCGTCTTCTTCACCCCTTGATCCACGTGTTCTTCCCCTTACAGTACACTTGGGAGCAGCTCCCAGCGTCCCTACTTACATATCCTCCCTTCCTGTTGGCTTAACTCCCGAGCAAAACCCCTAAGCATCCCTAAAGGCCCCTGAGGCCCGAAGCCCTCAGTTGCAGGGATCTTACGGGCCCCGAGTGCCACCCAGGACCTGCCAAGGTCGTGGCATTTGCCTTTGCCGGGCGGCTCGGGATGCTTGGCATCGGCTGCCGTGAGCTTGCTCCACCAGCTGGCATGCAAAGCGTTGGCAAACCTGAGGATGTTTCGTAGGTTTCGGGTGCTCGCTATTCAGCTCTGCTCTTCGCAGCAAAGGATGGAGAACACAGGAATGGGGCCCTGTGGGGCCCTATGGGACTGCAGCCAAGATTCGTTGCCCACCAGAACCTCTGGCCTCGAGCTGGATGCAGCATGTCCTTTTCCCGGGCTCCAAACATTCACAAACCCTGCTGTTACAGTATGCCCTACAACCCTGAACCTTGAACCCGCTAGGAACCCGCATCATCGAAATATAGGGCACTTGCAAGTCTGAGTCCCGTGGAGCTCCGGGGTCCAGACCGCAGGAGCGTCAGGCAGGTGTTGCGAGGCCGGGCGGTTTAGCAGACCCCCATGCTCAGAGCCTCAGACATTCTCCAGCAACAACAGCATGGGGATACAGGTATGGGCCGGTCTAGTTTGCGAGGAGAATTAGCAGAGAATGCTCTGGGCACACTGGTCACTGCCAGGCAGCTGGAGAGAATGGGAAAGCGTATCTCTAATGTCCAGCCAGATGTTGTGTTTGCCCTTAGCTGGCTGGAGCTGCCTTATGCCTGTGGTACTGACGTTGAATCGCTGAACTGGCCGCCAAGCAACGTAGCAGAGAGCATCCCATCGCCGGGACGTGCGCCCTCTGAGAACATCTCCATGGTCCAGGACCCACCTTCCTGTGGTCGAGCCCATGGCAAAACCAACAAACTTAAACCAAGGTTTCTGCTCTGTCAAGCAAGGCTCTAATAAAGGTCGTGCCTTCTCCGCCCCGTGGTCGCACAATCCTTTGCCTGGAAAGAGTGCAATGGTGGACGACCCTCACCCCCCTGTAGCACGGAATCAAGCAAAAGCAGGGCAACGGCACCCGCGTTCCATGTGGTGTTGCAGCAAAGGCTGCACTCTGGTGCCACGGAGCCTAACCCAGCCTGTGGAGCGATACGGAGTGAAAGTGAAGGCCTCCACCGCCATGCACTGTACCTGCCTGCGGGAGGTACCAAAGCGTGTCATAGGTCGCGTTCCTGCAACGTGAGAGGTGCAGGGTTGTACAGAGATTCAAGGTGGAGTGATGTTGAAGGATTCTCCCCGCTTGCAGATGTAACGGACGGGAGCATGCTGAAAGCTTGTGCTCCTAGCATTCATCTCGAACTCGACGTAGAAATAGTTACTTTGAGATGGGTCGATGAAGACCTCGAAGTCATCATCGAAGTACGGCCTGGGCCCGACAAGCTGAACGATCAAGCCAGCGCACAGCGACGTTGAACAAACAAACTGAACATCTGTGAAGTAGTTCGAGCTAGCGGCAGCACCGGCGTTGTCTGCCACACGTCGCTATGGAGATTGTCGCAGTGGCCTTCCACTGAGGCGGCCACATGCCTTGCCAAACACAGCTGAAAGACTTCCGAACTTCTCTCGGTCACCTGGCCTGCCCTTAACACCGACAAGCATAATGATGCACCTGGCTGCCTACCCCGAGAGGCACAATTACCTGAACCTGCAGGTTGCAGTATGATGCAGTGCCACCTGAGATCTGGGCTTGGAGCGTAGCTCGGCCCCCACGTACAAGAAGTTCTGAGGGCAACACGTTGCAAAACATAATGTCGAAGCTGCGTGGGCACGGCAGCTATGAAGGTCAGCAGATTTGGTGCCCCTAGCCGTTAGTTACCCAGTAGTAACAGATAGTATAACAGCAGCAGCTGTCAACTTACAGTACAAGCAGCTTCCACATTGCTTGCATTGGTGGCCAACGTCTCCTCGCGCCTCATCCCAGCGGAGCTTCACCCGAGTTGGATTCTCCGAACCGGTAAGGCGCCTGACTGGAACGGTGGTAGACGGGGAGGGAGCAGAGCTTCCCTATAAGATCTTTTAGGATGCTTGAGGTTGAGCCCGGGGTGCATAGGGTTTTGGGGAACTCTCCTTCCAGCCTCGCATAGTCGCGCGATGCGTTTTGCCAGCTCGTCCTTGCCGGTGGAGCGAACTGCCAACGTCTTAGCAAACCGCCACTGAGGATATGTTCGCTCTGCCGACAAAACACAAGAACATCCACTGCGCTTCCATGTTGGGTCGAAGATGTCCACAGACGAGCAGACTCCCCCCACCCCCCACTACTACAGGGACTTCAGGTTATTGCTTTCTTCGCTGGGTGTGCTTTGGCAAGATGTCTGTAGGAACCCGGGTTCAGAGTTTTGCCTCCTTGCCCTTGCCTTTTGCAGACCTTTTAAGGCGCGACACGTACTGTCGAAGCATATCAACGCAGGACAGGACATTCTTCAACAAATTGGAACATGTGTCCGACAAATGCATGCCAAGTCTTCAGCAATGTGAGGCTTTAAATGGTGGATCAAGACGAGCACTCCAGTTCCTTGGTCCTCAAACTGCTGTGGCGTGGGCCGGCGAGGTCCATGAAGCTGTCCAGCCAGGGCACCTCGGACAGAACTTGATCTGGTTGCTTTGAAGCTTACAATTGAGGTTTAGGGGTGTTTCAGGGGTGGTTCAGGGCTTTGAATGGCGAAGGGTTCGCATCCGAGACTCCCTATCTAGGTTTTCGGAATAGGTTGGGGTGGTGGTGAGCCTCTGCCCAGGCTTCTTCCTCCAGCCGGCCGTCGATGGAGATCTGCTGCCCCTGCCTAAGTCTTTGCACCTCGGCATTGACGCCGAATTTGTGGCAGAATCTCACCCACCCACGATGTCCGCAATAATGAACAGATACATGACATGCACCTAAAACGTGAGAATGTTTGAGGTTTAGGGCATGCGCCACATATTGTGATGGGTAGTGAGCGCTGATCAGCTTCTCGATGACAGAGGGCGCCTGCGTCAACTGTAAGGCAAGCGAAAAAAACATTGCAAACCGGCTCACCAAACGGAAAGCGATTCGCGCTGGGCATGAAGGAAACTTAGGCGATGCGCAGGTAAGCGGGTGTTTTCTGGCGAGACGGCATCTGGGACGTCGACTTCGGACTTCTAGAGAAGCAGGTCTGTAACAAATTGCGTTACAGTGCACGTGATCAGCCGTGCAAAATTATGTGGTAGCCTCGCCCGAAAGATTGGCTCAACTGTGAACCTGAACGACCGGCAATGTCTGCGTGGCTGACGCTGTCGATCCTGTTTGAAGAAAATGGTGCGCCACCGCTCTTGACACGCCAGATCCCCATTCTTTGCAAGCATGATGTGTGATAGCACGGGACACATACGTGCTGCACTTGCAAAAGCCTTGACGTCATCTGCAAGCACGTCATGCGCATGCAGAAAAAGCATTTGCTTGCATTACACGGGCTTTCTGACATAAACGCCTACCTTTATCCGCACGTACGCGCCTCCCTGCTAAGCCAGACATTTGGCCAGTCACCCAACATCTAAGCTCTCAACACGCTCGATGCATTTGCGGTACTTTTGCTGTCATATGCACGCTACATGCAAGACTGTTCACTGGCCTCTGGATGGCCATCGAGCAGCCCACCGCCGAATTGATGCCCATTTCTCCCCCGTCCTCTCCCGCCCCCGTTCCCCCCCCCCCTCTCCCAAAAAAAGGTGCCGATGTCCCAAACCCCGAGCACCTCCCAGTGCATCCCGAACCCAAGAACCTTCGGCACGGCGAAAATCAATGCATCAAGTTTGGCTTCGGGAAAGCGCACCGTCGGCGATTTCGGGGCCAAAGGACACCCAGCGATGCTGATGCTTACCAAAGGTCCCGATATCCATTCATTTCAGCGGAAGGGCCGCGGCCTCTCCTTCTAGAGTCGAGCATACTTTCCGTCTCTGCACCTTCTATGAGGACCTACAGCTGCAAACATAGGGCAGGGGTCGGGGAGCTTACAGGAACCTGAGGCTAGAAAGGACCACCCCCGAACCGGTCCCCGAACCTCTGCCAAGCTCTGGTTCACATGGCTCAGAAGCGCAGCGAGGAGCCACCGAGTGGGAGGGAAAATCATCCTTTCCACCCGGATTAAGTCGGTTGGATGCTTGGGATTGTGGGGAACGGCTGCTTCATGCTGCGTGACGGCCGCGCGGCAAAGCAAAGGCTTAAAGTACCCTAACAGGTCGCCGTCGCCGCTGTTGCTCAGGAAGTTGGTGCTCAATACAACGATACGTTTGCTGCAAGATCTGGGCTTGGGCTGCACTGCAGCTGCGAAACGTACATGAAGCTGCATTTGGGCATTGTACGAAGCCACGGACGGTGAGGACCGAGGGCGCCAGGACAACAATACCGAAACAACGTCGAACACCGCACGCCAGCCGAAGACTGCGAGCCAATTTCGGGTCAAGCCCTGACCACCAAGACGCAACGACAACCATCTGCTACACATTCCAGAAAAAGCTGGCAGATTGGCTGACCACTTTCGTCTGCGGAAATCGAGCTGACATTCTGCTGTTCAAACGGAGCAAGGACATTACCTTGTTGGAGTCCCCATTAGCAAACGAGGTGCTTGCAACACACAGTGGATGCATCCACATTGGATTTTAGGGTGGCGTTGGGATGCGTTGAGTCCAAAAGCAACACCTGATTGGGGGACGGTAGCGGGTAACTTTGGACCCTTCCCGAGGTGGCATGTCTTTCCACGCAGCTTCAGCTGGCTACGGCGAAGCCACGTGTGAAACATCGACCGTCACAAGCAGCGGGAACTCAGAATTGTCGGGGGCGCGGGAGATCTTTGACGTCCTTTGCGCCAAGGTCAGTGGCCTTCGTCTTCCGTGTCCTGAGCTTTAACTTACGGCATCCAAAGGCTTCTGTGCAATGCTGACTGAGCTGTGTTGCAGTAGGCAGCACAGTGCTGTGCCATGATATACTCACAAGTAGTCGTCAACGTCGTCGTAGGGAGTAGGACGGGGCAGCGCGAGTAGATTGTGTTAGAAGCAGGAACAAGTAATGACCGCGGCGGCGGTGGTGGTAGCAGTCGTCCCATGGAGTTTTTCATCTCGTACACTTCGGGTTACACACGCGCACACAAAAACAAGCAAACTCAATGTACTGACTGGCTGAACAGTCAACGACCCTTTCACTTCGCAGACTCGCTTGGGCACGCGCTCTTCTTGAGGCTTTGCTGGCTCGGAAGAGCTTGTTGAAGGATCAGCACGCCTCAGGCAAAAACAGCTCTTGCCAGATACCTGGCATCTTGACACCAGTGTCCAGCCCAAGATGGACTAAACTCGAGCATCAAACCTGGGGCCCGATGCCACACCACTCCAGTGCGAACGCCGCCAGCAGGCACGTGAAACAGCATCCTCAATGCGAGCAAGTGCGATCAAAGCTGCCAGGCTGTCCGTCGCCCTCTTTGGCTGAGAGATCGACTGCTGGTCTCGGCGGCGACACTGCTTGCCCTTACGCGGCCTCATTGTGTTCCACGGACTTTTACCGCGTCCCCAACGAAAGGTCATGAGCATGCGTTTAAAGCAAAACCAAAGCATCTCGAAGGTGTTTCCTTGCGACAAACTGACATACAAACATGCATGGTCCAACGAAAACTCAAAAGACAACAGCCATTGAGTATGGACAGGGTGAGGCCGAAAGCCCACCTAAACTGGCGCTTGAAACGGCCGAATCCAGGCATGGCTACAGCGTGGGTTTCACTTGAAACGGGCTGTTCTGAACCCCTGTTGGAAAGGGGACGATTGGACTAGGTAAGCTTTCCGATCACCACCAAAATTGTTGACATAGCAGTGGAGAAGGCCAAAATGTAAATGCCGGCATCTCCTCCGATCGGTCACCATCGATTTGAAGACCATTGGTGGCCGAGGTGATCACCACATGTGGCCAGCGGTCTGCAGAAGCAGCCGCTGAGCATGGATGCGCAAAGTTGTAAAGTCGAAAAGCCTGAGGCGCCGCAGCGTTAGGTCTGGGGCGCGTGTCTTGCTGTGAGTGTTGCAGGGGGCTGGTGCTTGCATGAAGCCGTGGTCCCCTGCATGGCCCTTGGTGGTGCAGATGACTGGGCTGGGATCCAAGTATGTTCACTGGCTGAGTGGTTTTAGCTGAAACTCCTCCGAGGGAACAAAAGATACTGGAGACGCAGCTCCCGAACCAGGACCGAAGGAGAAACTGAACTGGGGCGCGGGATGTCGGTGCGTGTGAGAAACCGGGAAATCCCGGACGTCCACAAGAAACGAAATAGCAATGCACATGTCCAGTCCAGGCAATGGAAGGAGAAAGCAAGGCGAATACATGCGGAAAAAACAGAATCTGTCGGCACCGTGGCGTCATGAATAACTGGGATGCCACATGCTACCAGCACAAGATAACGGAACCTGTGGAGCACAGCCCGCCGTAGAGGAAAGTTGTCCCAGGGTTATCGAACCAGCGTCAGCGATTTAACGAGGACTGTGTCGTGCTCGGTACCCTCGGAAAAAAGGCCGAAACGAGTAAAGCCCATGCTGAGAGCCTGGCAACCACAGCTAAACGGCTACGCCCACAAAACCCTTGGAGTCGGAACTCGGCGTCCCTCCCGGTCTTAGGGAAGATGGCTTCACGTGCACCAATGCCGAGGGGACTGCGCAGTTGTCTTTGAACTGCCATGCTCCAGCCTCCAGGTTCGCACAAGCGCCATGGTTCAATGCGAAGATTTCCGAAGCTTTCATACTGAGCCGCTGGCCGCGGGCCCAAGCTGCCGGATGCCACCTAGAAACTTTCTGCGTTCAAACATCCGGAAGCTTGACCCTTTCCTGACGGCAAGCTACAGCATCTATTATATCTAGTAACCCAGTGGCTCTTGGGTGCCGCAACTGCGCTGAGCTCGCTGCCATGATGGGTTTGTCGCGAGTTGTGCAGGCAAGCGCTGCGCCGCGACCCCTGCAGCACAGGAGGCCCCATGCCTCGGGCATCACAAGTAATAAAGTTAATAAGGCCACAGTGATGGTACTCTCCGTAAAAATCTCCAGATTGCATAGCCCACCCAGGCCCATGCGCGCCTCGCGAAGAAAGTCGTCCATGACTCAACCGCAATGCCCCAGATTAGGACACTGAACAGCTGGCTGCAGGCGCAAGGGCATGGAGTTTGCTGCGCTGCAAGCCAGTAGAAATACTGACTGACATGATGTGCAAACACGAAGGCTGCGAAGGGACTAGGTGATTTTGTCAGATTTCGCGCCCACGCGTTGTCTGCATGAGCGGCCTTTCAGATACCTGGTGCAACTGAACTGATGCAAAATACTGAACAACATGTTGCTGTTGAAACTGCAAGCAGCCTAAGTAGCCTGCCTTGAGAGAAGCCCAGTCGCCCCTGCCAGCAGAAGTTTCCCACCTTGTCGTGCAGAATTGCAACGATGAGCAGCTTACTTGCAAGCGTGAAGCAGGCACAGGATTGCAAAACAAGTAACCAAAGTCTCTTTGCCAGTTCTGGCAGGCTGGCGCAAGGCTGTCCTGTGACATGCAAACACTGACAAACAACGACAGCCAGTTCAACATCCAAATCAGTCTGTGAAGGGCTCTGATGGCTTCTGGCAGGTCACAAGGGCACGCCACTCATGCTACTGTGACCATCCAATGCACCTGAGGGCCGAAAAAATTCTACAGTGCGCTCACATGCTACCTTCCGATTTGGACCACTTCATTGGGCTTCGCTTGACCAATGGAAGCACTGCTGAGCATCGCTTCAAACCCAGCAGGACAGCAAATGCAAACCTTGAGCTGGAAGGCCAGTTTGCGGGCGCCGTAGGACAATGATGCTTGCGTCCAGAAAGCCAAGTTTCAGCCTGGGGCAGATTCGTAGGGGATAGGATTAGGGGGACCTTGGGGATATAGACCCTCTGAATAAGGTCCCTGTTTAAGAGAGCCAGAAGAGGGTTAAGAAGGGGTTCCCGTTTAAGGGTCCCCCTTATCCTACCTAGGAAATTCGGGTTCCCTTCTGAAACTCAGCCTGCACTTGCATAAGGCTCGTGCTCTCGTCGCGCATAGCACAGCCAAGAGGCCTCTCGTGAAGTCTTGCGTGCGTTGCTTCCGTTTCTGCTGCGGCTCACAGTGTGATGAACGGCTGAGCTTGGAGATGCGTGGTGTTCTGTAGCGTTCCAGCCACCGGTATTCCCTCCGACAGACGCTGGGTATCTGGCTTGGGCGGAATGCAGATTTGCAGCTTCCAGGACCCAAGGCTCCTGAGGCTTTGCCCAAGGTGCACATGACGCACAGGAAGTCTCAGCTCAATTGCAGCTACAGGTGGACCTGCTCGAGTGAGGAGATCAAGATCACGCGGCCGTCAGCATCAGACCGAACGACCTGCAGCAAAGGAGAACTCTTCATGACGTTGTGACTAGCAGGGCGTATCGCTAAAAGACTTAAAGAGCTCCTATCGTAAACAGAGCTGCGGGTTGCAGATCTGGGTTTTGAACGCGATCGAACTCTTTCAGCACAGCCTCCAAATTAGACTCCAAATTTGGGAACTCGCAGGCAGTCGTTGCGCAGAGACCGACACTCACGGAAGTCCCGACCTTGTACAGCCCGTCTCTGCAGCCTTCGATGGTACCATACTGGCGTCCAAATGGAACGTCGCAGATCACTGCATCCACCTTAGCATGACTTGGCCGAGCTCCAGGCCCGAAGATACCAAAAACCCAAAATCTGCTTAGTATTCTGGATGCCCGGAAGCTTTCTATCAACAGAATGTCCTGCGAGTCCCGCGGGGCTCACATGGACTGAATAGCCGATCACGGATGACAAAGCCGAGCAGACTGAAGCTCCAGCAGAATAATCTGGCAAAGGCAGCCCTTGCGTGTCGCCCCGGAGGAGATCCTGAGACGCCGCAGTGAGCAATCGCACGTAGCACGGCCGAAGCTCTACCAATACCACTACCTCGACACTTGCATCGGTTGGTTGTCTCTGAAAATTGGATTGGCTTGCTTCCATCTGAATCCCCTCAGGTTCGTGGTGAGACTTGCGCTGCAATGCCCGGCTAACTCTGAGGGGCTGGCCAATCGGGCACCGCTTGCTTGGGCCAGCAGAGCCTCCGGAACACTGAGAAAGTGTGAGTGTCGGCCAAGATGCCCACAGACATCCCTTCAAGTCACGCCCCGAGGGCCGCGCATTGCTGCGTGCACCAGCAAGCTGCTCGACGTCCACATCTACACCTTCAGCGCAGACGTCTGATGAACTTCAAGGCTCGAAATTTCCGAAAGTCTGCAGCATGAGGCGACCGGCCTATGTAGTGGCAATGCGGCCAGCTGAGGGCTGCCTCTCTAAGAGAATCTGGCCCAAGAATTCACTTAGCTTACCGGCTCGTTGGCACGGCCTCCACCAAGATGACGGCCTGGCAGTGGCAATACTGTAGCAATCGAACTGCCCGGGCCATCCCGGGGTCGCATATGTCGACGGTTGGGTGGCCTTCCCGCACATGGGGTCGAGCACTCGATCACCGATCTTGAGCTCAGCTGAGCGCGCCAACGCCCAGGCCTTAAGGTGAGTCTCTCAGGGCCTGCTCGTTCGTCCTTTCCTCTGTGCTTCTCTGTTCCTCACATTTCCTCACGATGACATCGCAACGTGCCCATCGTGCCCTCAAGTCCCCAGCCACAGGCGCCGCCATGCCCGCACTGCAAAGCTCTCCACCACCGCTCGGGACAGATTGAACCTCCATCGCCAAAGATGTGCTGTATCTAATTACTACAGCGCTACAAAAACGTACAAACAAACTCGCAAGTTGACTGGCTCTCTGAGTGTCACTCAAGTAGTGGGAGGTCGACCAAGACGTCGGTGTCGCTAACCTGTATGCGTGTATTTCGGGCAAGGCGCTTGAATGGGTCTAGGACCCAACTTTTCGCAACTCTTCCCCATGGCCCCCGGCCAAAATTCGCACTTCGACGTCAGGACGTCTCACCTCCGAGGAGTGTGCCGTGTTGGGATTTTAGAGATCTGAAAATGCCACAGTTCTTAGCGATACTTACAACGACTCCCTGCCTGTGCCCGCCAGCCTCGCAGGCGATGCACGTAGCTCAGCTGACATCATGGGATATCATGAGCATCTTGGCTTGCACCAACTTCGCCCAAGGCCCAAGGCCTCGCTTCGGGGCAATGGCCGCTGCCGCAGCAACAGCTACCCCTGCACCATGTCCGGAAGCTTTATTAGGCAGGTTCCCTGAAGGAGGCCTTCGCGAGTACCGGTTATAACTATTCACATAAGCCCTTGAAATGAAGTATGTATAAGGTAGGGTGCCCCCAAAAGGGACCGTGACGTAGAAACACAAGCTTTCATCGGTTGCGCGGCAGGGCTCCAGTCAATATGCAGCGGATCAATGCACACCATGCAGGACCACAAGAAAACGTGCCTTGAGACGACAACTGAGCAAACCTCTTGCCCGATCTCCTGCAAGTGATCTTGAACCTGGCTGGCCAGCAGGCTTTCAACCAACTGCTTGTTCCCATAGTTGAGTGCCTCTGGATCACAAACTGACATGTCATGTCACAGAGCCTCAGGAAAGCATGTAGCTGTGCTTTCTACAGCTTCGCACCACAGTTGCACCGTGGCTTTTACATCCATACCCCATCACATGATAACGGCATGGTGTTCTGAAGAGGGTTGAATCCACGCTGCAGCCTCCAGATGTCTTTTTGTTCAGCCTCCTTGCTGGCGACTTGTGCGCCATTTGCGGCCATAATCCTACATGAGGGCAGCTCCAATTTGGGTTCCTTTCCGGGGGGCCTTCGTGTAAGGGGGTCCCATCATGAAAAGCCGCCCTAAACCCTCGCATCCTACGCAGTGGCTTCAGACAGCTTCAGGCCGTGACAATGATCTCCAGCTGCTGCTTCAGCGCAGGCAGGAGCCTTGGCGTGGCAATTACGTGGAGAATTTGAGGGTTTAGGGCTTTAGGGTCTTACATGGGGGTTTCCGACATTGGGGGTATCTTATTGGGGTCCTTGTTAGAAGGGAATCCTACTATTCGGGGTCCATCATTTTCGTAAACCCTCACTTCGTACTAAGAGCCCCCAAAACCGACAGGGCGGGACGCGTACTCTGCCAGTCCTCGTCAGAGAGGAAATGGCCCTGACCATCCGCCGAGACGATGTCGGCCGACCATGCAGCCGCAGTGCCTCGAATCCATGATTTGATCCAAGGGGCGGCACACTTGGGGCTGGGAGTTTAGGGTTTAGGGTTGCAGTGTATTGGTGTGGGCTGCGACTGGGACGAGGTGCTTTTGTGGCACCAGTGCGGCGTCAGAACGTCCTGCGATCCAGCAATGAGCGAAACGGCCTTGCTCTCAGCCTCCCGGGCAATGCACGTGGATAATGCACTTTGGGGCTTCTCTGCAGGCTACACGGATCATGTTGACAGTCCGGCAATGTGCAGAAACCCCAAACCCGAAACCCTAAACCCAGACTGCAGCACCTCTTCCTTCCCTGGGCAGAAGCTGAAACCAAGCAGTCCGAGCAGGAGGCAAACTGATTCGACCTTTGCCATGCCTTGCAGAACCACATTGAACAGCAGCATGCGTGCTTCACAAGACACCCTCCAACACGGAAGAGTTTGGCAGCATGGTAGAGTGGCCTTCAAAGTACTGATCAAATGTCTGCGGACTTCCAGTGATGGTGACAATTGTCGGGTTTCCGGCAAAACCTCAGGCGGATCCCAGCATGGGCAGCACTGTTTGAGAAAACAAGGCACAAACCGAGGCGCTGCACTCCTTTCAAAACAACCCAAAGAAGTCAGTAAACTTCTTAGATGATGCTGAGCCCTGGTCCCAAAACCCGCAACAGAGGTCTAGGATGTTTAGGGCAGAGGGTTCCACGGCTACAGTATATGGGGCCCAAAAAGCCCACGTGCAGAGAAGGATATCCAGGGCGGAGATATGATCCTGAACCAGCTCAGTAAATAAGCAACCCAGCACCCCTGCTGAAAGGAGTTTCCTATACAACTTCTCATTGCAACCCAAGTCCAAGTGAATCAAAGCGACACTCCTTAGATTCCGGGCTTTCTTTCTATGAACCTCCATACCTTGAAAATGCCTTCAAGACGCCGATCGCTTTGCAACGGCGTGTGCTCCGACAGCAGTAGCCGCCACCCACCAGCTGCGCGACATTCATGCAAATCAGAACCTGCAAGGATGCGTATACGATCCATCTTCTGGCATCCAAGTGCTGGATCCAGGTATAAGTGAACAGAGAAGCGCAAGCAATGCCAATTTGTCCCGAGGGTCCATGAACACCCCAAAGCAGAATGTTGCCAGAAGGTGCAGAAAGAAGCAAAGGTACGTACCTCGGCTGCCGGCGTGGTTGGAGAAGGAAGGCAAGAAACCTCCGAGTGCCTAGAGATGCAACATACAGATACAACCTCGTCCTTGCAGTTGATGGAGTTCTGGCAACCCTAAACCCTAAACCCTAAACCCTAAACCCTAAACCCTGAACCCTAAACCCATGATGCCCAGGGACAAAAGCTCATGACCGGGACCGGGCACAGAAGGACGGCCCCCCGCACTTTTGCGGCCGCATCTTTCTTCCTGGCCAGGAGGACCTGGACACGTTGGAGTCGGGACAGAACATTGCGGCAGCGAGTAGAGCCTGGGGGCCACAAGGGATGGCCGGCCTGCACGATTGAGCCGCCCAGGGAGTGGCCAACCAGAATCACTGGTTCCTGGTCAAGTGTGTCATTGTGGTTGCTGCTGTGCATTGGTAGCATTCGCCAATGTTGGGGTTGTGGCATTTGATTCGAATGTATGAACTACCTCACCGACTTCACACAGGCACACTCCCCAGGAGCAGCAACTGCAAGCACAGGTTGCACGCGGCCTCCAGATCCTTCAAAGCTCTCTCGACCTGGCCAACGTAGTTGCCCAGGGACGTGCAGCGTGACTTCTCCTTGTATGTAACCGCAATTGTCAATCGGTGTCAGCAGACGAGCGACTATGGGCGAAACAGCTCGCGGGCAACACTCATCTTACTCCGCGTGGTGGAACGACGTTCCAAACCGGCTATCATAGATGCGTTGTTTCGACAAGCGGCAGTCTGTTCCACAAATCTTTTCAGTTTTGCATGCAAGCGCCAAACTTTCGAACGTCGTGTTGATTGGCTGCTGCAGTCTCTCCTCTCAAAGTGAGAACTATCTGCAGCCAGTTGCTCCATGAATAACGCCACGGAGGTGTACCCAACATCTGCAAGGGCCGTCATAGGACCTTCCGCTCTTTTCACAAGCATACTAACATACTGCTTGTATGCTGTTCCAGAAGCTACTCTGCTAGCCCAGAGAGTGGAACATCAGCCAGGATACCCTGGAAGACCGCCGCAGAGTCGTGCGTCGCACCAGGGACCCAGAGCAACGTCGCGCGTCGTGGCACCTCATAGGATCTCACAAGGAGGCATGCACTGAAGGCTTCAACGGCTGCTCCAAACAGCCACGGGCGTGGGCTGAGTTGATCAGAGCAAAAACACTCCCAGCAGTCCGTGGTCCATCTCTGGCAGTAGAGTGTGGGCAAACAGCCAGTTGCAGCATCTTGCTGGAAGCATACTTGAGCTGGGCCTAGGCCTAGGCGTTTGCTTGTCGCAGAAAGCCTGATCTGAGCTCAGCGGCATTGCTGGAGGCCTGAACTACGAAGCTCCCTGAAGCGGAATCGCTGCCATGAAGATTCCCAGCGTCAGCCATCACATGCGGGTCAGGACCTAACCTAGCCAACCAAGCAAGCGATACCAAGCGTTCGGTGCAGGCGAAACCATGGATAAGCTCGTACAAGTTGCGCAATACAATGATGCCTCGACTTGCTTGTGACGACGAGCTGTGGCTCGAGCCGGGCTGCAAGCTTGAATGTTGCGCAATCTCGCGTGCGATTCGGAAAGGAAACTTGATAGCTGATAATCCTTCAAGCGCTCGGTGCTCAAAACCGTCAATGCGCAATGCGCACGTGAGGGTCTCAACGCCATCGTCGCCTGGACAGGCGCCAGCTCAGATTGACTCCGGGCAAAAGTGGCTATGGATGGCTTCGGATGGCCACGGGCTTGCAGACAAAGTCCAGACGCTGCCCTGCTTTTTTTTCTAATAAACTGCGCTCGCTTCCTGCATCGCCCATCCGCCTTGCCCGCGATGCACCCTTTGCGCTTAAAGGGCAAAAAGGGCTGCAAGGATATGGCACAATGGGGCTTGCTCAATTGGTGAAACTAAAACCATGGAGGAGAAAGCAAAGCTGGGGCCAAAGCGCTCACAAGACCTCGCAGGGCTCTCCGGGCATAGAAGAGCATTAGAGAGAAACATACCGATTTTAGGGGGGGTTGACGATATATCAGGGACCCCCCAATACAGATCCCAAAAGAGTAGGATCCCCTTATAACAAGGACCCCAATAAGGTACCACTAATATCGTAAGCCCCATTACGCATACATCTGTGGGGTGGCACCTGGGATCCTGTGAGCGCCGGGAAGACGCGAGACCAGACATTTGCACATCAATGCGCCCATTGGCTTGCATCGCCAGTCTGATCAACAATCAAGACAAGGACGCGCTGCTTTAAAGGTTCGAGGGCTTTTATCCACACCTTCCTTGTGGAGTCCATCTCGCATGGATTGCAGCCCCGCAGCGGATCTATAACCAAAAGCAGTCTTACAGCTCCAAGTGAGATGCGGAAGATTGCTTGGGCTAACTGAATCCGCAGAGACTCTGGCTTCGACATGTTCGAAGCCCAATCGGTGCTTTCAATGCCGTTGGGGAGGTTCACCACCTTGCTCCACATACCTGCCTGTTCTAGACATGGCTGCAGAGGCATGCCCAAGTCATCGAGGCCCATCTGCACGTACTCCGCGAGGGAGCTTCCCTGCCCGGGCGTCCGAGCAACGCTGCAGGGCAGGGGCGCGTGGTCGATGATGTGGATGGAGAAGTTGATGGTTTCGAGCTCATAATGCTCAACGAACTCTCCATTCAGCTTGATCTTGGCCGGAGCATCCAGCATCCGCAGCATAAGCTTGCCAAAGGTTGTTGCTCCAGCACTGCGGGGCATGGTCATGACGTTCAGCTCCCCACTCTTTGCCGGCTCCAAAGCCGGAATCTTCGCAAAAGGCCCAAACTGCGCCGCGCCGAGGCAATGGGTGAACCCTTGCGGAATTTCCAAGGAGATTTCGGCACCCAGCTTGTTGATGCCATCCTGGCTTGACACAGCCTACATTGGACTCACAAGCCTTGCCTTGCCATCTTCCGTAAGATAGAATGGAGAGAGAGCAAAGGGAGGAAAAACGGGGGGCAAGGCGGCCAAGCATTCAACAGCTCAAAGAGCTTGAAGGAGTTCATGCCGTGCTGTTTTTCACGAGCGTTTCGTGTGCAGCCGAGGGTCAAAGCGCGGCGCCGCCATGCGAAGCAAGGCTCGAGACAGCAAGAAGAGGCGTTCCAGGGAGCCAATGGACGAGGACAACGCAAGCATCGCCTCACCTTCAGCCGCTTTTGAAGGCTTACACGGTAAGCTGTGCTACATGGGCATGTTGCATCATGTTGCCCTGACGTCTACATTCTCTGTAAGAAAGTCACCATCATTAACATGGATTAACATAACCAACCAACGTCTGATGCAGAAGCTGCACGAGTTCCCCTAAGTGGCTGGGTCCAAACATGTCCCAGCCCAACCCCCCAAAACTTCATGCGAGTCACATGCCCTCCGTATGGCACTGAGTAAGATTGGAACAGACACGGCATAGACGGAATAGCTGTGAAGGCACTCGGGGGTAGTGGAAGTAGTGGTCGAGTGGAAGAGCTTGAAAAGAGCAAGGGTGATGCAGGCCAACTCTGTGTAGCGGAGGAAAATCGTCATGGTCTGGTGGATTAGAGTGAGCTTCTTGCGCTGTTCCAAGTTTGCATCTTGGATCTCCTCGTACGTCGCCTTCACAGCTGAGCTTTTCTCGGCCATCGATTTCACTTCGAAGAAGTTGCTGAGGGTGCTGAACATGTCCGAGTACATGTACCCGATCATGCTGCGCACTTGTCTGGAGCAGGTTCTGAGGCTGAAGCCGGCAAGGAGTGACATGGCAACCATGAGGGCCCCCGCCGAGAACGCGACGAAGACTGCATTCCACACAGGCTTGCTGTCACAACTGGGCTGTGTAGCAGCAAGACCCAGGATCGCAAAGAGTGCGCCTATGACTGTGAGGGACTCAATGCTCAAATCATTGCAGGACTCCAGAACGCCCTGGAGCGCCCGCGTATCTCCCACAAGTCGGCTCCAAATTTCTGAGAACATCCGAGTGGTGAAGGCCTCGGTCTTGATGTTCAGGAGAGCCAAATACATGGAGGTCAAGACGTTCAACATGGCATAGTTCGCAGAGCGGATGAAGAGCCAGGCGCCAAGAAGGCTGCTAGCTGCAGCTGCAAGGAGCCAGAAGGATGTCAACAAGTGGTTGATCACCAGGATGTACAGGACTGCGGCCACAAGGTTCACCAGGAAAGCTCCAAGAAAGCCAGGCCACGCCAGCTTGCCGATCCGCAGCAACTGCAAGAAGGATTCCGTCAATGTCAGCTTGCCAAAGAGGTTCTGCGCGAGCATTGGGTCTGGACTGTCTGGAAGAGTTTCATCCTGCCCCACAGCTAAGCGCAGAGAAGTTAGAGAGAATGCCACATCAGCTTTACAAGGGGGAACCTTTTTAATCCGATGTGATTTGTCCTGCTCCATGAATGCTCCGCCACTTGTCAAGACGCCTGAACTTCGCAGGCTACGACAATCTGAGCAAGCAGCAAGTGCAGCGCATGCTGGGCAATAAAAACATCACAAAGCCCCAACATCCTCTGTGAACATAAACCAGATCGGACCATCAAACCTTGCAAGCCCGAAAGGCCCTAAAATGCCCTAACTAACTCCCAAGTCCTCCTAACTTCCCTCAACACCCTAAACCCTAAACCCCTAACCCCTAAACTTCCTCTTGTGGTCGCAGGGGCGGGCGACGACGCGCCGGGCGCGCTGCTTGGAGCTCTCGAATGCTGCTCGGCGAAGCGTCCGCGTGCGGCTCCCGGGGGCCTCGCTGCCACCCATCTCAAAGGTGAAGCCCACCTGGTTTAGCGGTTTAGGGTTTAAGGTTTACAGTCTAAGGTTTAGGGTTTCAGGTTTAGGGTTGGTCTTTGGTGCATTTTAGTACTTTTTGCCCGGGCATGTTGCATTTTATATCTGGCGAAGATGAGTGCTGTCAGCTAACATAAAGTAACTTTCCCTTCTGCAACTCTCTAAGGATAGCAGACATACATGAACACTAGCAACAATAAGCATGTAAATATAGATGGCACCTTTCCAAGACCTATTCATATCTCCACACTTCCGTACTTCCATGGGTAGGATGTCCAAGGTGCGAAGAAGTAGGCTTATCGAGCCTGTCTTATGGACTAGGGCCGATTGAGCACTCATTCCGCTCCATCGGCCCCCGGATCGAAGATTGAAGACTTAAGATTCAAGATGCCCTGGGAGTTCCAGGGCATCCTCAAGCTTCAATCTTCGATCCGGGGGGCCGATTGAGCGGATTGAGTGGACGAGGTCTCGGACTGAAGATTGTCTGGAAACTTTCCGATGGCATCCTCAATCAATCTTCACTCCGGGAGTAGATCTGGGATTGAAGATGCCTGAGAAACTGTCTGAGGGAATGACCTCTTCTCCGGCAGCTTCTATCTGGTTTACCGCTCCCAGCCCCCATGCTCCTAGTGGTGCGGCCAACTTGCTTCACTGAAACGAAAAGCGTATAAGCTTTGTCTGGCTCACTTTGTCCACCAAACCCGTATGTTGTGGAATATTCGATGAAGTTGTTGTGGCCAAATACTCATGATGCTTCGAAGGAGGGGGGCAGTTGGATTCATGCGCTTGTTCTTATGTATATTGAATATATTGCGGGGGATCGCTTCTTGCTGAGAATTCGTTGATCTTGGGTAGAGTGGTATCGCATCAGGACATTTCTTCATAGATGAGTTGGCGTATGACAATCTAATGGTTTTCATGCCGACTGTGTTCAGTTTGTTGTTCATGCTGGTCCCTTATTTATCGGGTTCTTCTTCAAACAGATTGCATTGCTTAAATGGCCATCTAGTTAAATAACATTGCAATTAGGAGTTCAAGATAGTTATGCGCATGAAGGAAAATCGCAGAAACCCCCTTTTTTGAAGTTTTCATTTCGTTAATCCAGTCATTTAAGTCACTTGGTGAGGACGAACATATTTTACTTCAGTTACTAGTATTTCAGGTTAGCGAATTAGACTCTTAGCTATATGAGCTGCCCCCTCCCGAGCTGAATAGACATCTTAAAAAAAACAAATGTATATCTCTATATTGTTTAACCATCAACTTGAGCAAAGCAATTGGAGGTCAGTTATACCATGAAATAGTTATCTCAATTAGTTCCATGGTAAATATACGAAAACATAACTCACACAGGAGTGTTCGATGTCCATGATGAAAGCCTACATAGCCTTCCTCTCGGACTTCCACAGCCTCCGCGCGTGGCTTTTGTACAGAAATATACATGTACATGCATATACATGAATAGTCTGTTTATGGAAAACAAAGCTCAAGGCGCGTTGTGGGCATTCAGGCTATAAGACTCGATGCGTCCGGTTCGAAAGGCCAGAGCAGCGCTCCACTGTCTCACTATGGCTTCAGGCTTAGTCTCTTTAAAAAAATCTCCAAGGTTTAGTCTCTTACAAAAATCTCCAAATATGAGCAGGAGACCTGCGTGTGCTGAAAGCCTGTCTGGCCGATGATGGAGCCATCCTCGACGTGCATGGCGGCCGCGCTGCGCTGCTGGCGCAGGTATGCCAGGTGCGCATGGGAGGGATGCTCCGTGTTGTCGGCTCCTGCAATGTGTGCCTTCAGGCTGTGCGTAACGGCCGTGTCTGGAATGCTGTACGGCACGAGGAAGCTCTCATCGAGAACCATCTGGTGGAAGCGAAAGTCTCGGAAAGCGCTCACGCGCGTTCGCGACAGCTGCTCTGCATATTTGGCCTCCTTCCACCGTTCGACTGCCTCGGAGTTGAGCTCACTTTCAAGCTCAAGCCGATACCCGTGCCTTGCGATAAGGGAGTTTACATGAGCATAGCACTCCCCCCAGAGCACGTGCGGGTACTGCTGTTTCTCCACAAAGCCGAGACGAACAAGTTCGGTGTAGACCTTCATGTACATCTCATTTCCTTTGGCTTTGGAAAGAACCTGAAACATCGTCATCTTCGGAAGCTTCTGCTGTCTATAGAAGTTCTTCGTGTGCTCAGAGAAGTCGATGTTGCGAGTTCGCCCTTTCATCCATTGGACGAGTGCTCGTCCAACCACCCTGGGGTTCGCAATCACATTGCCGCGATCATCAAGAGTGCTCACCTCTGAAGCCGTAGCTGGCCCTGTCATGCTCCGCAGCATGTGCTCACCTGGCATGAGTTGGAAAAGCGAACCCAGAACAACTCCGTTTAAAAAGGGGGAAACCTGTAATCATGCAGCCGAGTTGCGGCAGATCTTGGCGTTGATCAAGAAGACTTTACCGGCATCGTCGGACACAACTATGCACTGGTTTTGCGTCAGGTCACGCGTGGCCAGAATATTTCCAACTGTATCATAGCTGTACTCGACATCCTGTGCCTCGACTGGAATCCCTCCAATGGTGAGGCCATTGTCTACAACTGTCTTCATCTCAGCTTTCTTGTGGTCGTCTCCTTCCTGTAGGAAATAGATGAGATCGATGTCGTTGAAGCCTGCAATCTCCGAAACCAAATCTGGGTTCTCTGCGTCCAACCATAGCAGCTTGCCTACCAAGCGGGCGATGCCGCCTTTGTATCCAGTGAACGGATGCTTCGCCACCCATTCCAAGAGCTCTTGCAATGGCAAAGTGGCATCTTCACTCTTGACGTTCCCGAATCTTGATGGCTCCAGCTGGGTGACTTCCAGGACAACGCCTGCATGAGAGACCCCACATTCCAACTTCTTGCAACAGATCTGCAGAAACAAGCCAGCCAAATGCACTCCAGGGCGCTGTCCAGTTCATAGAGTTCAGGGCTGACCATCCGAAGATTGGCATACGAAACCTGCAGAAAGGAGCCAGGATTCCATCGGAACTCGGCCAAGTTCATCACTCGCGCCTCTTGTCAAGCACACAGCTAAGGCTCGGACACGGCGGAAAATATCCCTGCAAGCGAGATATTGGCGAGACGGAAAGGAAGCAAGGAAAGCATCAGGGCATCAGGCACTCGGAGCATGCTGCCTCTTGATCTTCTTGCAACCAGGCTGCCAGGGCATCGGGACCGGCCACCGTAACCGCCGCCAAGGCAGCGCCAGGATCAGGATTAACACAACCACGCCGCTGAGAATCAAGTTCACCAGCGCGATGCTCTGGGAGGAGTCAGGGCCCGTGAAGCCGACTCCCAGTGTCTCTCCGAGTCCCTGCAAGACCTGAGTGGGTATCATCCAAATCCGCCCCGTCATGCTGGCAACCGAGGATGCCAGTAGCTGTCTGGTAGGCCAAACGCTCTGGGAGCCACAAACGTGCAGCAGCACCCGGATGGCTTCTGGTACACTGCGCCCTACTTATGCGCCCTAACATCTTGCTTGGCTTCAATTCAGGACCTTGCAAGAACGTCCGACTTACCGTCAGCATCATGCAGCACCGGTGCTGTCCCGCCTGCGTTGCCGTTGAACCGCCACCTAGGATTCATGCGAGCTGCACTCCCCGCCGCAGATGTCAACTGTGGTTCAGCCAAGGTGCCACGTGCGTAGGGCCTGCTTCCAGCCTGCAGCGTCCGCAACCCAGGCAGCCACAGCCTGAGCCACAAATCGGGTTTAAGGAAAGACGGGAAAGACTTGCAATCCTCAACAATTGAAGCTGCACCTCACTTATCACTGCAGTCAATGGAACCCTATGTAGCTTCAGCCGTGCTCCTCTGCGCATCCCCTGCGTGGGACATGGGGGGCTATAAGTTGGGGGCTTGTGCACCAGCACCAGCGGAGCAAACAATCTGAGGGAGTGTCAAGCTCTGCTGCAGGCCCAAATCCGCCGGCACTTTGGATGACCTCTCGCGCACCCTAAACCCTAAACCCTAAACCCTAAACCCTAAACCCTAAACCCTAAACCCTAAACCCTAAACCCTAAACCCTAAACCCTAAACCCTAAACTCTAAACCCTAAACCCTAAACCCTAAACCCTAAACCCTACCAGCTCAGCTTCCATGGTGTGGACCTCCAAGACTTCGGCTCCGCTGGCACGCATGACCTTAGCATGGTCTCGCGATATCTCGCGATGTGGGGGGTTCCGAAAATAGGGGTACCCTTTTTGGGGGCTCCTTTCAAAGGTTTTTTTAAACTTTGGGGGTATACTAGGGGGACCCTTTTCTGGGAAGTGCCCATGTAGCACACTTCATGTATGTGAGAGGCGCGGAAGGAGATCGGGGCTGTTCGGAGAGGCCGCCAGATGTTAAGAAATCGAGTCGCAAACCACCGCGCAGACTTTCTCTGCCTGGAGCAACAGCTGCTTTGCTATGAGATTCTGATGAAACTGTGCATCCTTTGCAAGGTTTAACGTTCACAGAAGCCCTCCCGCAGGGGCGGGCCGACTTCAGCGTCGCAATCGCCGCCGGCGTGCGGTCACTGCAGAAAAACACCCGACACTGCACCTCGCAGAGGCACAGAACAACAAAGGAAAAAGCTAAGCCTTTAGACTTCAGAGCTACACCGCATGACAAGGCAGGTGTAAAGCATGTCCAGGCGGGCCCGATGCATGGCTTTGGCACCGAGACGTTGCAGCTCCCAGGACGCCAACTTGTCAAGGCCTGGGGAGGCTGCGAATGGCTCTTCGAGATCTCTCGATGTATGCCCCCCTTCACCCTTTTGAGAGCAATTTTCAAGCCCTTCATCTAGGCCCCCCCCATTCTGGTTGGAGAGGCTTCGAGAATTAAACTTTAGGGTAAGGGAGTGCTGGACACAGATAGATGCAGCGCCTCCTTGACTGAGAGTGAGGACGAAGTCAGCCGCTGTGAACTCCTATCGTCAGCACAGATTCCATTTTCGAGTCTTCATCTGGCCAATGAGCCTGCACAGAAGCATGTGTCGGTTTGCACACTCCTCCTCTTCCGCTGGAATTGCATCATCAGACCCCTGCGCCAGAAACTGTGTTCACACGTTTGTGCTAAGATTTTCAGGTATAGATGGGGAAGCATCTCCCGTGGACTGTATACACAGCCAGAGGCACGCATGTGAGCTCACGCAACAACGGTATGCATTAGAACCAGGCAACCATGGCGAGCAGAGAATCCAGCTTTCGCCTGATCGCGCATTGCCGCGAGCAGCAGGTGAACCACCTAGCAATCGGAGTTGGAAGAGATCTCCTCAGCACCAGCTCCCCCGAAACTGGCCCTGAACTGTGAACCCGGAACACGGAGATCCTAAGGCCCTCAGAGATCCTGCGACCCTAAGATCGTGGGAGAATCGAGACCTCGCTGTCTGGACCGTGAACACGCCGGGCCAAATCCAAAGGCCGCTCCTGTCCCGATGATCAGCCACCCAGACGTGCAGTTGTCCGAAAACAAGGGTGTGGGGTGTAGGTGTTAGTGCGGGCTGACGGTCCTTGAAAGGGAAATCTTGCAAGTGCACAATACAAGGTAGAATAACACCGACATGGGACAGATCTCTGGAGGTGATGAATCCGGCAGCACATGCAAATGTACTCTCACTATCTTATACCAAGTCAGCACTCATGGCTCATTGTAGCGGAGCAGGCTTTGCTCAACCCAGAATCTCTTCTTTGCCCATCCCGGCCTGCGCAAGGTGCGTCCTGCACCGACAAGTGTGGCTGAACTTCACTCAAGAAGCTCATCGGTAGGGGCCCAGGTTTCAGAGCTTCGCGGTTTGAAGTTTGGGGACACTGACGCAACCCTACGTGTCCTTTTCGCCATCTGACGCTCGGTGATCAACTTAGGAGCCGGTGGCGCCTGGCTCAACGCAAGGCAAACAAGAGAAGCACTGCCCTGTCCATATTATTATAAGATTGTTTCTTACATAGTATATCTATATATTGTATATACATACAAGTATATTATACAGTGACCACTTGTATGCAATGGATGATATATTGGCACCCCCAAACGGGTGTAGGCTGCTTTGGGGCTGCGAATCGTTTTCACCTGTTCTCCCGCATGGAGTGCACCGGTGACTGCTGGATGTCGACATGGCTACTTACAGCGCGTGCCGGCACTCCGAAGGAACGCATGCGGGGTTGCTCTAAGTTCGGGGGTCCTCCGAAAATAGGGGTGGCCTTTTTGTCGGGGCTTCCGCTGAGGATGAAAGCATTTCGGTGCCCATAACGGGCTAGCCACTCGGCAGCTCTTACAACAATGTTTTCAATCATCTCATGTAGAACAACCCCCGAGGAGATCGTCAGCTGCAGACGGTGAACTCAGAGTTCTGGTCGCGGCTTCCTGGGTCACAAGCTCATGAGCCCAGAGACTCCAGTGCACCAGCTTCGAACCCAAAACATCCCACAACCAGCTCCGTCTCGAATACCGATTCCCACCGCGAGATCCTTTCAACGAGCCGTGGGAGGCACAGAAACATTTGAGGATCTCGCCTGTTTGCCTGGACATTCCTCGCCAAGCCAAGACCTGCCAAGAAAGTCACGAGACCAGGAGAAGGTGACATTTTGGCCAATGGAAGAACACCAGCAACATCGGCACACACGGAACCACTCTAGATTCTAGATCGTGGAGCCCATAAGTTTCTTGTCTACAGAAGCCGGCTGGCCTTTTGCCTTGAGCTTTGCGAGCGATGCAAACTTCTCATCTTCTTTAGCTTTGTGCTGCTCTGTCAGCCCGTCCACAAACCTGACGTTTGCAGCACAAGGAAAGCTAGAGACCTCGCTCTACTAGTTACTAGTAGCTACCTTCGGGTGTGGCTGAAGTGTTTTTTGTTGCCTTCGGAAGTCAGCTTCGATCTTGTCCCTCTCTTCACCGCTGGCCGCGCTCACATCCTTGTCCTGACCATGGGTTTGCTGCTCATCTTCTGTTAGCGCGGGTAAGCTACCGAAGGGTCGCGAAGTAGCAAAGCAGACGAGCCCACCCAGCCTTCTGCTGGCCAGCCTGTGACGCTCGCACTTTGGCTTCAATCTCGAAAATTCTCAAAATGTGCGGCTGCTACAGTTGCAATCTTGCTGTGGAGGCTGCAGGTCGAATGCCTTTGTCAACGTCCCCAGCAAGTTGGCTTTGAACAAGCCTTGGTTTCGAACAGCTGTTGAACAATGTCAGCAGCGATACGTGCTGCCGTCGTACCCAAGCCAGGTTGGCTATGCCTGCCCTTTGCCGGCGAGCTGCTATACTCTGTCTCGACCTGATGGGCAGATGAGGAGTCTGAGTCGCACAGCTTGTCTAAGTCGCTGTCGGGACACGCTCTTCCGTTCTTCGGCGAGCTGTTCGACAATTTTCTCAAGGTCAGGGATGCTTCTCCTCAGCTGCACTTTGCGAGGCTTTGTGATGCGACGCAGAAGCTCAACTGCAATGCCGCGCTGGCAGCTTTGCCTGAAGATATGCGTTGCAGCTCCGCAACGTAAGGGAAAGGCCCCCATGTAGCTGTGTAACGACAAGATTCCTCTGGAAGTCCTGAATGAGCGACTTCTCGTCAGCGGAGCAATGTCTTTGATTGTCCACTGTGCAAACCTCGGGCTTGGAAAATGATAAACCTCCAGTCAAAACAATGAAGCTGTAAAACAACAAAACAAGAAGCACGAAGACAACAATAGCGAAGCTACAAGTCATAACGGCGACCACCACCACCACCACCACCACCACCACCACCACCACCGTGACGATGATGACAATGACTGTTCTGACAATAGCAACAATGCACATCGTGACCCTTGAATGAAAAAGAAACCTTCCCCCCATTTTGAGTCCTTGCAGGCGACGCGGCCGGGACGAGTTGAGTGGTGACGAAATTCTCCAAGTCCTTGAGTTCCTCCCATCACGATTTCAGGCAGCTTAGGGTCTCCGGGGTTTAGGCCGCTGAGGGGGCGAGGGTTCCCAGTATTTCAAGGCTCCGGTCTGTGGTGTCTAAACGACTCAAGCGCATTCAAGCACGAGGGCCCCCTGCCTTCTTGCCAGTGTAGTCATCCTTGTGTCCAAGAACGGATGTAAAGGGCGGCAGCTTTGGGAAACATCGGAAAGCAGCCCGCCCAGTGCAATGAAGGATCAAGATCGTACGCGTTGCCATATTTCAACGTCGGGAACCTTAGTCCACCATCGCCAGTGCTTGAGGGTGGTGGGCGACAGACACACACACACACACACACACACCCGAAGCCGACACCGGTGCTCAACACCAGTATAGCCAAGCAACTTATCGACCCCGAACTCCAAACAGAATCGGGATGCCTCGCCTCCGCAAGATATTGAAAGCAGACAGCAACTTCACTGCTCGACGTTTCGCTGATTGGCCCTTGGTGCAAGTGCAACAAGCACTCCATGCTCTTTGTTTGTGCACATCTACAAATTCATGCAGTGACCCTGGAGCGCAACATTCATTGCGTCTCTTGCCTGAGCAATCCACGCTCGCAATCAAGATCGACTTCTTCTTGCCTTTCTCCTGCAGGCGGCCACTATGGCCACTTACCGTACCAGACATCAGGGTGTGTCTATGTGTGTGTGTGTGCGCGTAGGCCCCATCGTGCTTCAGATCACCCATCCTTGAACTTGAAATTCGCATTTGCCAGCTTGTCCCACGTCGGCTGCAATGTCTTGCAGTGGTTGCACCACTCTGTGTGAAAGTTCACGAAGACCTTGCTCTTACACGTTGATTTGATGGCTGGGCTACCGCTGCAGTCGCTTCAAAAACTGTGAGGTGAGCAAAAAGCAACGCCTACAGAGCGAGCGGATGCGAGCGGCAGAGACTGAGGAAGAGTTAAGAGGTGAGATACTCTGTGTACATCTCAGCACCTCGCCGTCTTGCCTGAAACTCGGCTGGCCCATGTCCTTCCGGAAACGGTCCGTGAAGGGATCCGTGAGGTGGGTTCCGAAAGCAACATGCCGCTTCCGACAGACCGCCGCTCCTCTCAGTGAGCTGCACGCCCCCAGCGACACCTCGCAGAAGCAACTTGAACCCAGGGTTTCTTTCAAAAACCCTCCAGACAGGGGGCGGAGACTCTTCCAGCCATATCTGAGCTTTCTGAGACCACGACTAGTAAGAAAAAGGATGAGTCGTCCAGAAGAGCTGCCCATGGCGCACAATGAAGCGTCGCAAATGGCAAGGTGCTTGCTGTTTAGTACACTACATGAAGTGCAAGTCTCAGCGTTGTGAGGGGGAGCTCACGACCCTTCTAACTTGTCGCTTCACCACATCATCTTTGGGGCAAGAGCCTGCTTGCAAGTCCAAAGCCAAGCAGGTTCGCTTTTGTAAGCGCCTTAGCCGCCCTCGAGAAACTCACCACACAGGGCTTCTGACCATAACATTTCGTGGTCAGAAGCAAGCCGTGCCTTGGCATCCAGCAAGATCCGTAAAACCTGCCGAAAGGTATGCAGCACAAAAAAGTTCACACCCGCAACAAGGGACCCCTGGTATTTCGACTACCCAGCCAGTCATCACCCTCATACTAACCGTCCCTAGCAAGGATTATAGTAACCCCCTACTATAAGTCCCCGTAAAGGACTGCTAGTATAACCGGCTGCCTTCTGTAAGGGCTCCAAGGTCGATCGTAGGCCTCAGAGTGGCCGTTCAGCGAGGCCCAGTGCACCGCCGAGCGCGCCCAGCGGTCGCTCCTTTATGGGGAGAATGCACTCTGACGCACCCAGTATAATGACAATGAATTATATATATATATAGATATATATATATACATATATATATATATTCGAATAGCATATAATTTAATTAATCTAACATTATATATGCATAATATATGTATATAGATCTACATGACAACGACACCGGCAGGGCACTGCATAGCCCCCCTGAACCCCACGTGCGTAAAAAGCCCGAGCGCGTGACCACTCCAGGAGTCCCCGCGATGCTTTCCTCGCTGGCCCCTCCCTGGATGCCTTTTGCGGAGAGCGACCCGACGCTTCTTTTAGGGTTTATAGGGTTCAGGGTTTAGGGTTGTTTAGGGCTTAGGATTGTTTAGGGTTTAGGTTTTAGAGTTTAGGGTTCCAGAACTGGCAGCAACAATTCCGAATAATCACAGAGGGTGCCTGCAGCAGTCGTCGCAAAGATTCCGCTCTGCCACTCCGGGCTGCTGCCTCAGGCAGACGACTCGGATGCCCAAGCCACCTACCACGTTTTTCTCGACTCACCCGGTGTACAGTCAGCCCAAGCCCTGAGGGCACAAGAAGAAAGTCACCCTTTTCGATGCCACGTCAGCCTAACATCTTTCGAAACCGCAAGGGCACATGGCTTTTGTAAGCGTTTGCAAATCTTTCAAGAAATACAACCGGAGCTGCGCGCAGCTCAGAGCCAGAGATACAAATCGAACCTTTCCAGCCCCGCCCCATCGAGCCGAGCAAGGGCAATTTGAGGATTGGGAAGATCCGAGTGCCTTGTTTCTGGGCAGGGGATTCAGATAGGCGACTACGCGAGGCGAGCGACGCCCAAAACAATGTTGGAACCGAGTATCTCAACTCCAGACTCGAGCCCTCTTCACCCGTTGGTTCCCCCGCAGGTGTTCTGCCACGTGAGAAATCTGCTTTGCGGGAGAGGCAACGACCCCCCCCAAACCATGCCCACAGTACCATAACACCGCAAAACTGCAGGCCCGATGAAATTTAAGAGATGTTGAGGATATAGGAAAACAAGCCCAACCCCTGCGGCACATGGGCTTGGCACGACCTCCCCCCACAACAGGGTCGACTTCAACCTACCACTAGTACTGCCTTCCACCTTCCCGCATTTACGAGAAGCCCTTCAGGCCAGCAATTTCTAGGGTTCGAGTCGGCCAAGCGGCATGCAACAGGGACTGGCCCCGTGCGTCACGTACCGTCAAAGGAGCTTTGGCCTTCAACCTCACAAGAAGTTCATGGGTCGAAGATATGGGCATTTCCCAAAATAGGGGTACCCCTAATATACCCCCCGAAATAGAATGAGATTTAATCCTGTTTATAGGAACCCCCAAAAAGGGTACCCCCATTTGCGGAAATCCCCCTTTTGCGTCTGCTCACCCGGGTGCTCTCAAGGGCCCGGGCAGCACGTCCAAGGCGCCAGCTCCAGGCGCCATGGCAGCGTAGTGCAGCGGCCTCCGAGTAGGTGAGTATGGTTTAGGGTTTGGGGTTTGGGGTTTATAGGGTTTAGGGTTTAAGGCTTGGGTAAATGCTTCTTAGCAAATCGCCAGCTTGTGGCAAAAAGTCTCACATTGAAGGCCTATTGAGCCCTACAATCTATTCTACTCAGCTAGGCGGCAGCGGCAGCCCAGATCCTGCCCGGGACTACAAGACTCCTGATTCAGCAGCCACCGGCATCTTTGACCTAAACCCCCTAGATCCTGAACCCTCCTGAGCCCCCCAAAAGTACAAGCTGTGGTTTTAAACCCCCTTAAGCCCTAAACCCTAAGCCAAAACCCTAAACCTTAAACCCTAAACATCCCTGAACCCTCCTGAGCCCCCATGGTTTGTGGTTGGAGTCCCAGGGGACCGAGCTCCTGGCGTCATCGCAGCTCCGGGCTCGGTCACCGTTGCTCTTGCCTCCACTGTGGGGCCGAGGAAAGTTCAGGGTTGATACGACCTGGTAGGATATACGGGGCTTCTCAAATCTATAGAGTTCGTGGGGTGTAGACGAGGATCTATAGGATTCATGGGGTTTAAGGGATTTTGCGGGATTTACCAGGGTTCAGGTTTTGCGTTTAAGGGCAGCAAGGAAAGCACGGCTTAGGGTTCGCAGGGTAGTGTTTTGTGATCGCAATACGGCATGAGATGTGAACTTGCTGCAGCGGGCAAGGCACCAAGTTACTTGGACCTGCAGGACCGGATACCACCGATGGATAAAGACTGGCGCGGCGCCGGGGGGAAAGGGACTGTGAAGTTTGGCGGGTCTTGTTCGGTTGAGTCACCACGAAGGCCATCCAAGGCAAGACTCATATGCAGCAACAACCGCCGCAATGCTGTTCTGCTGACGCATGACCGAGAAAGATTGCATGAGATGCACTGGCTTTCCTGTACATGTACCCTTTGCTTGGTGCACGGCTCGCCGCTCCAACAAGAGCTGTACGCATTCGACGGCATTTGCTTGCCTTTGCAACGACAAGCACTGTATGACGAATCTCTGAATACGCTTCTTCTGCGCGAACATTGGTTCCCCCCTTTCCAGCAACGTTGACCGACTCCATTACACAGAACGGACCAATAAATCTAGAGCTCAGAAGAACCGGCGCTTTTTTTTTGTTTTAAAGGTGTGGCTCGGACGCTTTTTTTTTAACCCCTGGCCCAGAAGAACCCTAAACCCTAAACCCTAAACCCTTTATAAACCCTAAACCCTAAACCCTAAATCCTGGCGTGCCCTGAGCTGCGGGCGCTGCTGCATGGAGAGCTGTGAAAGACCCCGCCTCTCAAGTCTAGAACTCCGGACTTGATATTAGGGTTTAGGGTTTAGGGTTTAGGGTTTAGGGTTTAGGGTTTAGGGTTTAGGGTTTAGGGGTCATATGGGTTCGGGGGTTCAGGGCCCCTTTCAAGGAACGATCTAGGGAACCAAATTCTCCCTACTAAGATTCTGCAAGCCATGGAGGGCTCTAGGATGCTCTAGGCTTGGGACTTAGTACGGATTGCATGGGTCTCTAGGGTGCCTCTACATGCCCAGGAAATGCAGCATTGGTCAACAACCAAGCCTTCTATTTAATCCACCGGATATTCAACTGCCCCAACCCAAACAACGATTCGATTTTTCTTACATGACCATCGTCATCAGTAGTGGCAGCAGCTGCTACTGCAACGCTTGAAAGCTCCATGATGATGATGATGATGATGATGATGATGATGATGATGATTCTCATTTCTGCAAAAAAACTTTCTTGCTAGCAATCTTGCTATTTGACATTATTGCTGTAATAACTCGGCGTCGAGCCTTCGCATTGCCCAGGCGTGCGGCTGCACCAATCCATCTCTGAGCATCCTCGTCCCGAGGCAACAGTGCTCGAAGGATCTCGACATGCATAGTTTTAAGCGCGGACATTCTTCCAAACTATGGGCCCTGCTGGGGGCGTGCCCTAAACACAAGCGCACGGGCTAGAATAGGCACCATGTCACAGACACCCTCAGAATGTCTCAAAGAATCCTCCGGATGCGTTGCATTAAAGTTAGCGACCCAGGGTTGGCTCTCAGGTCTCAGATCCTCTGGCTGGGCTGCATCCAGCTCTGCCGCCAAGGCTGCTGCTGCATCTGCAAGCTCACGACCCACCAGCTAAGTGTGTGAAGCACGTGGGGGTTTCCGAAATTAGGGGGTGCCTTATTGGGGTCCTTACTATACGGGAATCCTACTATTTGGGGTCTACATGAGGGGTCCCCTATTTTCGTAAAACCCCCCGGTGGGTAGTGTTCCATGTTGTTGCTACTGGAGTCCTTCCCTGATGCCTGGGCCCTTGCGCCGCGCAGCGCTGCGCAGGCGGGGCCACGCCTGGGCATCCTAGCCCTTTTGAGTTGTCCGACCACTGCTCTCTTTCTGCGGCTGTCCACGGTGAGCTGAGGCCCTTGAGGCTTTAAGGGATTGTTTAGGCTCATATGTACCTGAAGCCTTAAGTCAGGAGCCCTCGCCCGGCCTGGTGATGCGGCTGGTCGTTGGGTGCTCCTTCACCTGATGCTCGGACACAGATGCCACGCACGGCAACTTGCCCTTGCGTTAACCACACAGTGTCACCCTGTCCTTTCAAGCAAGTGCCAAGGGAATGTCAGAAAATGGCACCGCCTGTGTTAACAAGAAAGACAAAATGAGGAAAGCAAAACCTTCTCTCTTCAATTGCGGGCCTGCCGGTGTGCGGACACCGCCACGCCGCAGGCCGTCACAAAAAGCAGTCAAGCTGGGCCTTAGAATGGCGGCCGCATGGTGAGCAAGGGAGCGCGCCGAAACCAAGTTGTGGAAGCTTCATGGCTAAACCCGAACCCAAAGAGACAGGGAGTCCGACCGAGTTGAAGAATCGCGTCAATCGGTGCACGGCTTTTCCAGGGCTTTGGCGCAGTAAGCAGCGCTGACACGGCGAATGCACCGGAAACATGACCAAATTGCGGGGCCTCGCAGTCACGAGCTGTCAGTTCGCGTGGGCTTCGTAGGCGGAATTCTGTTAGGCTGGCTTTCAAATTGTTCACGGTTTCTAAGTAGGCTATTCACATTTCGGTCCTTCTCATCACCGGGGGCGATGTCTTCATCTGGCTCTGCCTGGCACACATGCGATTAGGAAAAGCCGAGGGCCTGTTTCATCACAAGCATGTCCGTCCTCCCCGACAAGTTCGTAGCGAAGCGATGCACAGACCCTGCGAGAACTTCGGAGCTGCGGATCAAGCATCTGAAGTACAGCTAGCTTCTGCCACGCGGCCTGAGGGCAAGGAGGGACTCCCCTCCCAGCTCAAGGAAGCTGTCCTCCGGACGTATTCCTGGCAAGTTGCACGGCACTTGCGGTCGAGGACCCCTCGGCCCTCTCAGCCCAGCACAGGCAAGATAAGGCCCGCTAGTGTATAAGCATGTCCCTGAGCAAGGACGCATTGTGAACCAAAGAAGTAACTCTGCTGTCTGGGCTCTCCTGTAGGGAGTTCAGCGTTCACATACCTTAAAGAACACGATCTACGAGCAACGAACAACAATAAACAAGACATCACTTCAACAAACCACCAAATAAATATCATAAAACAATGAATTCGTATCAGGCAATGGGACAATTTAAAGCAAGAAACCGCACTAACCACCTCAATTGCAATGACTGCAGACAGCTCAATACACGAAATAAACGGTCTACAACTCGTCACATACCGCGATTCATCGCCTAAAGCATACATTGGAGTGGCATGGGCTGGCCTCCCGGAGGTAGCCCAAGAACCTGGCGCCAGACCTCCAAAGAAAGGAGAACAGAAAGCCCACTGGACCACAAGGGTTTGGGTGTTTGGTGGTTCAGTGTACGTTGAGGGGGCTATAGAGCTCGAGGTGATTCTACCATTCAGGGCACCCATGTATGATTCTACAACGGGACCGAAATTTCAAAACTCTCAGGAGGCTGAAAGAGCCCTTCTCAGATGTCAGGCCTCCTCAACTTTTGCCTCCAAGGCATCAAAGCGGCGTTTGGGCGGCCAGAGCCAAGGCAAACAACCTGCGCAGTGCGGGTCGGAGTGTGAGGCACCACGACGGGTCACAAAACCGTGACCCATGTGTGAGCTTCCCCAATTTGAGTAGAGTCCTGAAAAGAAAAGGGATCCCGGGATCCCCAAGAAGGGGGCCCCTTATTTCGGAAACGCCCGTGTGGAGAAGCAAGTGGTGTCAAAGATGTGACGCAACTGCCTAGACAGCCGTCGATGCCCATTGGCCAAAGGCTCATGGCACATGATGAGCAGTATGGGTTTCTTGCTCCTAAGTGGTGCTGTTGGTGCCCACTAGCTGCAAACATGTCGAGAAGGTACTTGACTCTCTCACAAGTCTTATCGTCGTGAAGACTACTGAAAGCCGACTTCATCCTCTCCTTTGGGTTCCTACATTGCGCATTTGTCCGGTGACTCTCGTGATCTCATAATCTGACAGGCATCACCGCTGTGACGCGGGAGACATCGGGAGACCTTGAGCTGGCACCCTTGCAAGGAGGTGCAAGGCGGAAGTTCTAGCCCGGAAGCAGGGCACGCACGTACATGTTAAATGGGCCGGGAATGGTGCGGAACAGCGGGTGAAGGGGTTTCCGGGCAGGCAAGGTGCAGAGACACTTTGCTACCTCGCGCCTCACGGGGTGTTCAGCTGTGCTCATCCTACATTGGATTTGACTCTGAATCTCAACCCTCCGGCTTGTCCGGCTTGTCCGGCTTGTCCATCATGGCCTGGGCAAGCTCAGAACAGCTAAAAGCCCAGCTCCCCTCGGAGTTCTCCCAGCCGTATGCTTTTGAGTGCCCGGCTCGGTGTTGCGCTATGGCCCGAAGGGAAGCTTGTTGCCCTCAATCACTCCTTCTTCGACCTGTCCAGGTGCAAATCCATGCCTATTCTGGAACGGAATGGTGATTGGATAGCATTCGCAAGTGACAGCCCAGACTTGTCTTGCTGCATTACAGCTCCAACAGCCTGTGCCCATGCCCACCGCCTGAGATGTGCTACTCTAGCATACAAAAGTCTGGGCAAGGGCGGGTGTCGCCTTGTCCTTGGTGATCACAAGGGTCCGCACCACACCACCGGAGCTGCCATCGCGGGACATTGCAAAGGTGAGGGCCTTCTGCACGAACCTTAGGACAGGGGAAACGGCTAAAACTCAAAGAGTCAGCACAGTGGCCCTGGTTGCAACATGGTCTCCGTTCCCGACAAACCTGCCTTATGCCTTCTGAGATTTTGCAGAGCATACAAGACAGCTGCTGCTGGTATGATTCAGGGATATGCCTGCAGCCTGTGACTCTTGACAGAATGTCTGTCTGTGCTTCGCTCAGAACAGAAGTGAAAGCAAAGTACTCGAGCATTCAGCCAGCCATCTACTTTCAGCTCGTAGATATGGATCCATCCAAGCTCGCGACTCTAAACACTCCGCCTTGGACATACCTGTCGCAGCTGAATGCTAGATCCTTTCAGCACCTGAGATTGTATCTCCCTCATTTGCACGCCCATGGCCTGGTCGGTAGTGCGAATCGATGAAGCCCTTGATGTAGCCAGAGCCCGATCCATCACAGGCCCATGGCACTCGGATACGCGAGCCACCCAGAGGGATGCTGTAGACCTGACCGGACTTTTATTCCACCCGCCTCCCCGCAAAAGTCGCAAGAGCTTACGCCTTCCCTGCTCTGGCCTGACCCCCTCTCTTGTCATCGTAGCCCGCCACTATCAGGCCGGCGAGGAGGTTGTCCTAGCTATGCGGGGCACCCTACATGAAGCAACGCGCAGCCAGGAATACGCGACCCGCTTGGCATCCTTGTTGTTGTAGGCGATCATCTTGAACAAGTTTGCTGCGGTGTTCACTGTGGGCGCCTTCCTGAGTTGATTCACAAAGCCACATCCAACCCCCCACGGCAAACGACAAGTACTTGAAGGGTCAGGATTCATCATAGCCAGAAGGTCGACACTCTTCTCCGATCATAGCACTTTTCGGTTGTGACCATGGCTAAGAAGTACAGAGGTGCACATCCCACGAGCTGCCCACGCACCCCCCCCCCTCCCTCCAAGTTTGAGCTTGAGCCGCCCCAGCTCCACCGCGTGCTGGCCCAAGTAGTTGACGACAAAGCCCGTGAGCGCCTAGCACCCGACAGATGCGGATAGGGTAGCTGGGGTTATTGGTTTTGGGCATGGTATGGCATGGTAGCTGGTTGCTACTGGCTTGGCAGGTTCGCACACCATGACATCGTGAGACCAGTGTAAGATTTGTGACCTCACTTGCAGGGTGTTGGTCTCTTCTTCTTCGTTGTGGCACAGCTCTGGATACTAACCGGCACAAGTACCATGCCCATGGCAACAGCCAAGCAGAGATGCCTGGGTATCTGCAGCACTGCCACACCGGCACACGAAAATCTTGTCGTGCACCTGGCCAACTCCACCAACATGTCTAGGCGAAGATCACGTGCCTTCTGCAGATGCCTGCCTACTCACATATCATGGAAAAAGAGTCGTTTTTTCAAGCCTTTTGGACTATTCGAAGGTGTGCGTTACATTCAGTCTTCACAACTCCCTTACGGGTTCATCCAACGGACCCGACCACCTTACCAGCTTTCGTCGCGCTGCAGCTGGGTGTCGACAGGCTCAAGCAAGCTATCAGGTATCATAAACCCGAACACAGATTTTGCAAGCCATGTCGTACAGAGAGCCATATTAATATTGTAGAGAGATGACCACCAAGGGTCAGTCAATGTGAAGATGATGTGGCCTTGGAAATCTTCCTCGAGGCTCGATTCGCCACATATTGTCCTGCCCAGGATGTCATGCGCAGAACTTCGGCAGCAGAGTCTGGACATTGAGATGCCCTCCAAGCGTGACAAGCTTAGCCTGTGGAAGTGCGTGAGTCAGCGCCCATGACCACGCCGCCATCGAATTCAACAGCCATGATTGTCCTGGGCTGAGCCAAGATGTGCATGTTGCGATGCTAGGTGGCAAGGTCAACCAGGAGCTATGGAGCTGCTTCAAGCCTTTCGAAGCCAAGTAGGTGGCAAGTGTCGTACCAGTGGAGACGGCTTGTTCAGGCTTCATCACATCATCGGCACGGTAGGGGCATCCCTCCTCGTTGCAAGGGGCTGGTTGCATGGCGGGTCAAGGAGACGGTATTGAGTAATTAACGTCTATAATGTCTGAAAGGGCTTCTGAGTGCTGCTTGCCTACACAATGCGATCTACGCGCGCAGACACGTGTCTGTGTCTGAGGAGCTTCAACGTGGCGTGTTACAAGGACACAAGCGCGCCTCAACGTGGCGGACAAATTCATCCTGCGAGGGCCTTCAGGTCAGCAGCAACAGAGCGGTACGGCACGAAAGCCATACTTCCTGGGTCTAAACCGCAAGCTTCCAATTCAACCACGAGCCTGGGGGCAAGGAAGTCCATTTTGCTTGCCTAGTCCACTTCTCTAAGCACCGAATTGCGCTGCTCTGGGTGCTTTCTGAGCCAGAAAAGTTCGGGGAGTCTGGCCATGCCTCGCCCAACCTTGCTCATCAAAAACATGCTTTAGTTAAAGTTAACATAAGCTTAATTATACTGCATGCGTGCATATATGCAAACAATACGTGATGCGTCTGACGAACGGTGTCATGACTGGACATTAGCAGCTTCACAAGGCTGGGGAGATGGGCAGGCGCGCTCGCATTTTCCACTCCATCTTGAAATAAGATCGCTTGGCCAACAGCATGCCAACAGACCGATTTGGGGTGTCTCTCACTGCATCGGAACTTTGCCTCGCGTTCGTCACTTGACCTCACATTGTGCGAAGCTTGTGATGACGCGGCTAGAAAAACTGCTCCACATGTAGAACAACTGTAGTCACTGACAATTAAGAATAATCACCATATCTCGTTCTATATAGCAAACATGCGCACAACTAAAAAAATATAGTTGTGATGGGGATTGTAATGGGCAGTCATCGTAGCTGTGATCAAAACCCTAGAGTACAAGCGAGTCAAAGGCCAGGGCCGAGGAAGCCGGAGGAACGTCGACTCCCTGCCGGTCTGCTTCGTGCGGGTGGGTTTTCTTGCACGATTCACAATCCCTCCGAGGCATGAGAACAGAGGCTTAGGCCACCAGCCTGACTCAGTGCACCTAGCCCACTCCCACCTGCTCGATCCCCGGATGCCAGTTGTAGGCAGACCTCGCTGGCCTGCGCGGGGGCGTCTGTGGTCACTGGTCCCGGTCAACAATTAGCGCGTGTCATCGGCAAGCTCTGGAAACTTGGCAAGCATACCATCGGATCCCTTCATCTAGCTCCCTGCATGCAAGCAGCGCAACAAGCAAGAGCAGTCTCTGTTGTTTCCGATATTTCGCGGGGATCTGTTCGCCAGCGTGCATCTGCACATGCTTGACCGTCTTGAAGCTGTTCCTGCCTGCTACGAGTAGAAACTTCCACGTGAGCTGCAGAGCTTCACAAGCAGCTTGTCCCGGTGATTGCCAAGATTTGCAGAAAAGGCAGCCATCATTGGCGCGTTCAGTCGCTGGAACTTGTCGGTCGTGGGAGTCACTCTTCGTCTGCTGGCGGTTGTTCTGCGCGAGCATGATGCTCCTTCCTTGGCAATGCAAGCTCAGCCTGAACTCAAGCAGTTCAAAAGCAGCCTGTCCACGCACATGTGCACAAAGCTGCCTTGAAGCTGTCGGAAAACTCGATCAAGTCGGCATTGGCGCGGCGTCGCCAACTAGACCTCAGTGATCGGATCAAGGAAAAGAAGAATGGTCATCTGTCGGAGTCATTTGGGAGAAGTGGGTCCGAATGGGGAGAGCTAGGCGCCACACCGGGTCGACACTGAACAACTCCTGAAAAGCTCGCCGCTGGTAGAGTAAATTGGCCAGCTCTCTAGATTGATTGTCCATTTTGGGGTACCCTGAAACAAGGGTGTATTGCAAAAGTAAGATCAAGGAAGCATGTTCTCGACGATGATGCGGAGATTCTCCAGACACGTTTGTTGGGCTTAAGAGGCTCTTATGGAGCATGGCATTTGAAGCGCTTGCTGAAAATGTGAGCCACACTATGGATTACCCACTCGAAGCCTTCTGGGACAATAGCTGGTCACAAAGACCACCTTCAAGACAAAATCAACGGATGATTCTCATTGAAAGGAAAGGCATATACATCCCAAACCCTACACCCTAGACCTGAGGCCTCGAACAAGAAGAAGACTTTTCAAGACACCAGGCTCCTGGATGACCTCAACGTTCACCGCATCTGCATCGAACAGAAAGAAGCGGTGCCTTGCAAGGACCTGAGGCTTTCTCGTCAGGCCTACGGGCGGTGAGATTCACTGAATTTGATCTGAAGTCGTGTTGATGCAGGGCATCTTGCCCCAACGCAGACTAGAAGAAACAGAGTCTGCACTGCGGCAGCAGAAAGAAGCCTCTGAGCTGATGGCATGGCGGCGGTCATCTCTGGAAGCAGCGGGTACTTGGCGGAGGAAGTGCAACACGACCACATGAAACAAGTAACGCCATTGTCCGAGGAGATCCGAGGAACGACGGGACATGGTTGCAAATCAGAGATCTCCTCAGAAGTCTGCCCTCTGCCAGCGGGGTTGCGCTATGCTGCTCGATGTCCAACGACCTGGGTGCTCAAGGCCCAGGCAAACACCTAAAGGCCCCGGCATGGGCCTTCTCGTCAGCATGGACACCCAGCTCGTCAGCCAGCAAGTCGAGGCGACCACCACCAGCCAGTCACTGCAGTTCGCCACTCGACGCTGTGCTGCGAGCCGCCAAGCGGCAGCTGCAGCTGCGCGACGGCAAGGCTCTGCCATGGCAAGAGGTCCTGGCCGAGACAGCCATGAAACAGTGTGGCTCGTCAGACATTCTCATGGCTTCAGTTAGGCATGCAGCTCGGCCGTTCCAAGTTGTCCGCACATTCTGACGGCGTTCCATCATTCTATGGAGTCATCCGACAGAACCAACAAGCCGAATCCCTCACTTGGCTGAGGCCCCTTGAAAGACAGATCCCGTCTGCGCAAAACTGACTTGCTAAGGGGACTCGGCGTGTCACATACTGCTCGAATTTGCTAAGCCACATAGGACTAACCCCTGTGGCCTCCGCCGACTCCGAGGCCATGCCAGAGGGGCTTTGCCAGCCTAGGAAACTTGCACGCTATGGGACGCCAGACTTCATCCAGATTGATGAAGAAAAAACAGAAAGAACAAAAAACAAACTGCAAAAATCCGCATGAGCTGCCAGTCATGTCGCAAATAAAGTGACTTCATACTCTGGATGAGGAACAAGAGCGACAAACATCTTGATTATAGACACAGCACGCAAGGCAACGCGCAAACCCTGCTAACATCTGCCACAGTAACAGCTTAACCACCGAGTTGATGGCGAAACCGCAAGCGCCGCTGCACCGCAGAAGTCTCCCAGTAGGACACGGCAAGCAGGGTCATGGAGATTGCCTCAGCCGAGCTACTCCGTAACTTCGCATCTCTCATGCACATACAGTACTACTACTACTACTACTACTACTACTACTACTACTACTACTACTACTACTACTACTACTACTACTACTACTACTACTACTACTACTACTACTACTACTACTACTACTACTACTACTACTACTACTACTACTACTACTACTACCACTACTACCACTACTACTACTACCACTACCACTACCTTATACTCATGCACCGTCACCTGTACCCTTCAACCCTATACCCTAAACTCGACCCTGTGTTCAATCGCGCCTGCTCGAGCGGCACAAGGCCAACGGCGCCGCGAAAGCGCAACAAGGCAGAGTCCCAGCCTCCGGCTAAGAGAGCCGGGAATTTGAGCGCCCGTCTAAACTGCATCTCAACGGTGACGGACGCGTGTCAGGGGTTTTGCTGTTCAGGTGGTCCCATCGCTTTTGTTGCCATGCGTGTCAGAAGAGCTTGGGGTGTCGCTCTGCTTGTTCCATATTGACTGCTGCAAACCCTTCCGACAATAGTACGGAGTCTTCGACGCGTCCCGCAGACCGCGCAATTCCTAGGACCCGAACAAAGGAGCCAGGGCCTTTTCGAGGCACTTTGGTCTCTAAAACTGCCGTCGCTTGGGTGTCGCTTTGGGTGTCGCTCGGAAACGTTATCAAAAAGCCTTTCCAAGCTATGAAGGTTCGGACTTACTATGACTTACGTATTGTGGGGGTGTCGCTTTTCAAGTGGTCCCGGCGCAATTAAGGTTTTGGCACTAAGCAACTCACAAGGGGATCACTACAAAGAGATGGGCAGGCTTCTCACTGTCAGGGAGTCATCGGTGATCGAAGCCTTCATGAACAACTAGGGTCACCGGTCACTACGGAATCTGAGGCCCCAACCGGCGCCCACGCGAACCCTGGCACAGGAAGCACAAGAAAGAAGGCGACATCGCGTGGTGCTGAACCCTAAACTTAAACTTCCTAAACCCTAAACCAATTAAGTCCAGGATGCCACTGCAGAGGCGACAGAGCTGTTGCTGCATTTGTCAGGTCCTCAACGGCAAACATTCACAAAACCAAACATGTTTGCCTTCAGAGTCTACTGGTGCCTAACAGGTGGTGAAGTGAAGTGAACTGGGCTGATTTACAGGATCGGAACACAAAAGTTGGCCGGTTGTCTCTGAAAGCTGAGCTGAGTGGCTCCAACAACGGGCTGCGCGTAGCGTTCTGCGAGGCGCACCTCCCCACGGACACGGACCTGGGCAGCTATGCCGGGCAGAGTGTGATCCACCAGAACGCAGGCGGGGATTGCTGGAAGCTAGGGTCCTCTCATCCCTAGTCTGTACCCCTTTTAAGAAACCTCTTAACTGCCTTACCCCAAGAAACGGCTGACATGGCGGGCCTGCCCGCGTAACGCCACGGGCTGGAGCCGGGTGCAGGACCTGGAGTGCTGTGGCTGTCCCGGCCTGCTTCTTCTTTCCCCTTTTTCGGAGCTTCAACATCGTTAACGTGCTTCCTAGCCCATGATTTGCCGGGCTGGTAGTCTGCAACTTGAGGAAGTAGAGTAACCCGCACTTAGAGTTGCAACTGGCCTTGACACTGTCGTTCGCAACGCGAGCCTCTCACGAGCCGAGAAACGTCGATGCTTGCTCTAATGAATTGACTTGCTGCGTTCAGTGCAGCGGAGGTGTGAACGACATCGAACATTGCAGACCGTGCCGCAACCAAACAGATTTTGCTGAACAGGCTCATCCTAGCAAGATGAAGAAGCCGCACCTTTGCGGTACTCCAACTCTGCCTCCCTCGCTGCGCCAGCGCACGCCTGCCAAGTGGGTCAGTCAACAACCAGGTGCTTTCGGGTCTGCTCAAGGGAATCACTGCAGCTCGAGTTCCACACAACCTGCATGCACCTGTTTGCTGTATCTTGCTTCCAAGGCTGCCCGAGGGCATAGCCAGTCGCTCAAGCCGAGAGCGCAATCGTACACGTGGAGCACTCCGAGAACTCAAAGACCTATGCCACACCAATGCCTATGCTCTATAGCACTCTCCGGAAGAAGCTCTTCTGGTGGCATGTCGCTGTCGGTGGTTGTGCCATTCCAAACGAGCATGGCACGCGATCCACGAGATGTCACGAGTCAGACACGAGTCAGCGTAAGAAGCGGAGCGATGCAGAGCATATCACTCGAACATACTGGAACACTAGTCATGGCGGAGTTGCAGTCGATGGTCTGGTCTGGCATGATGCCCCGTGCTGCCATGAAACCACATGGTGATGGCCCATCGCTCTCTGCAGGTCACCCGCACCTTAGTGTGCAAGAATACGGGCTGAGGAGGAATATTCTCTTGAGCATTGCAGGGCTTTGGTTGTTTGTGCTTTTTTTCAGAAGCTTGGACCATCATGCACCTCGTGCTGCAGCGTGTCGGCACGTAGAAGCACCAGGCTGTCACCATCTGGGAGCAAGTCAATGGGCTTTGAGTGCTCTGGGAAGACCCGAAGAGCTCCCCCATCAGATTTTGTCCAGCGCCCATGGTGTATGTAGTAAACAACAGTGAGAATGCGCCGATTTTCGAACGAATCCTCAGAGGACTTCAGAGCATGCAGTGAGTCTTCTTGACCAACGTGCAGCCGAGTCGATGAAGGAAGTTCGGTGCCACTGACACTGCTGTCGCAGACAGAAACACATCGACTGACCATGACTGGTTTCGAAAAAAGTTCGAACACGGATGTTATGAACACCTGATTCCTGCTTGGGGGGGGGGGGGGGGCTAGACCTACTAGGCCCTACACAAAGCACCCAAGCGGGGAGCAGGCTGGTGGTCAGTACTTTCAAGTTCCACGTTGCCCTGGGTGCCCAGAGTCTAACCGAGATACGGAATCCTGGGCCGATCCGTCACGGTGAGCAGTAAAGAAGCCTCCAGGGTCGTAGCAGGCCAGCATCGCCATTTCACGCCCGGTCAGTGTGAGCTTCGATGATGCTTCTGCTTCCTCCGTCCGTCTGCCGAAAAGCACTGCCAAGTTGTGCAAGAAGTTGGTCAACCAGCGCATGCCCGGTCGCGATGACAAGGCATACCTCAGAACAAGGCGCCTTTTCCGAGACTACGGCTCTGCCCGCGCTCCGCCCATGCTCTGCCCGCCCCCAAGGATGTCGAGGCGCGAGTTTAACCAGAGCATCCGATCTTGACGCTTGGACTCGTCGCCATACGTCTTCCCCCTCACCATGTGCGATGCCAGAGAGATGGCCTCTTCCAAGATACGCGCACGGACTTCCGAAGGCACTCCGACTTGAGCCAGGCGTGCCCACCTCAGACAGCGATGTGGTCAAGGAGGCCAGGATCTCTGCATGTTACACACAACTGCATGATTCGAGCACATTCCGACTCGGGACTGAGAAGTCGCACCTCTGGCGCTCAAAAAGGGTCGCGTCCAGAAGGTCCGCGCAGCGAGCTGCCAGCTGGTCCCGATCCTCGCTGCTCCGGCACAGCGAAGAGTCGGGTGGCGTCGGCGACGTGGCTGTCGCAGCACTCACTGGGCCACTCTGGAGCTGGTTGCCCTCGAATCCGGGCGATGGGTTCCTTTGCCAAACGTCAACTGGGTTTGCCCCTCTTGGCACGCAAACAACTCAAATAACGCAGCTTCAAGGACTGGGACACGGATCCCAGCCCCTTGCCATGAAATTCGGAAGGATAAGGGCGCGGGTCATTGCCCCAAGGGGTGTGAGGATAAACCCTAAACCCTAAACCCCCTCTCATATCTGCAGGTTGCAAGTTTCGAGTTTGAGTGTACGCAGGACATGCTTGACCACACAAACCCTAAACCCTAAGCCCTAAACTCTAAACCCTACATACCCTGAACCCTAAGAGGATCCCCCCCAGATCTGCCCGCGAGCTCCTTACGGTGACATGCAGCGACATCGGCCTAGTGCTCGGAGTCCCCTAGCCTGCCGGACCGGCATCATGGGGCATAAGGGTTTAGGGTTTAGGCTTAGGGTTTAGGGTTTAGGGTTTAGGGTTTAGGGTTTAGGGCATAGGCTTCAAGGATGAGTCTGTTTGCACACAGCAAGCCATTTGGGGGTTTACGAAAGCACGGGACCCCTTCGTATATCTTAGTATATACTCCCATCATCCTTCAGACAACGGTCGAGGTGTCTCGCCCTTCGGGTGCTGGCCGCTCCAACACCTTCCTCCACGCTCCCTCGGTGCAAGTCTCCTCGGCGAGCTCCAGGGAGTCGAAATCGAACATGACGGGTCCCAACCGCCCCTCAAGGGCTTCGGCTTCCGACCGGCATACAATGTCCGGTGCACCGAAGACAGCTTCTCACCATGGCGTGATGGCTAACCGAGGCGATCAAGATGCCTTGCTGCAGCCTTTTTGCTGCTAGAGTAGTTTGTTCAGCAAGCCCACTCGACAAGCGAGACGCGGCTGCGCAAGAGGTGCAGACGCAGGATCTCCGTATCTCTGTGGGAAGGTTATTAAAACGATTACCACGATCACAACTCCCAAGCAGGTCAAGCAGCAGTCCAGAAAGCGTGAACGCCACCCAAGCCTTCAACTTCACCGCATGCGCCGAGTAGCGGCTGGAACGCATACCCGTAGTTGCCTGGCCATCCACCGATAGCACCGATTTGGCATGCAACTGTCACTCTGCAATTGAGCGAATGGGTTTTGGGTTGGGTTTCGGCTGGACTGAAACACCAAGGAAATGACGAAGCCCTCCACGGCACAAGTTCGATAACTTGCTTCCGCAATCATGTTTAACCGCTGCTCCCGCAAAGGAGATGTAGTACGCGGTCTGGGGTGAGTCTTTTGAGTGTTGAGGCGCTGGATCGGGAACAGCCAGCTACAAACGAGCCCGGGAGACCAGTAGTACGCCTTTGGGGGTCGTTTGCCACTGAGGTAACCCCTCCGCGTGCTTCCCGCGCACAGCACCCGCCGATGACATCTCCGTGCTCTATGGAATTTCATTCCAGTAGCACCTAAACATACCGTGGCCAATATTGTAATTCGACAAGCTGCTGCGGTGGAGGCAACCAGGTTTTCCATACTTGTTCATGAAAGGTGCCAGAGCTGTCCTCTTTGCTGGTGCCTGGTGCCAGCCACCAGCCGTCGCGGTGCTTCACGAGCGACGTGACATCCGATTTCAGAAAGCCTTGAAGGACTCCGCAGGTTTGTTACACTTGGAATTCCGTCCGTGCTCTGCTCAGGTGAATGCCATTGCGGCGTGTGCCGGGCAGCTCATGCTGGACTTGTTGGTTGCGTCGAACTTCCTCGCAAAGATGATCGGGTGATGGTCTCTGACCTGTCACCGGCTTCGCAACCATGAGAAATAGTGAGAAGTTGTATGAAATTGTGTTGCTCGCGCCTGTTGCAGCAGCGGCAGCGAGCTGGAGGTCAGCACTGGCGGGCTGCCGGTCGGGAAGTCTGTATAGCTGCGCCTCAAACTGAACTTTGGGCAGGGGAGGGCTTTGGAACTCTCGACACTCTGGGCGCTTGAGCCCGAGATGCATAGCTGCCTTGCTAGCACCCCTAGGACACCCCGAATAACTTCTCGAATTATCCTCGAATTTCTGCTGATTGTTGTCTCAAGTTCAGGCATGAGGCGACGCTTCGTCCAAGAAGTTGCCCTGGGTGTCGTGGAAGTGGAAGTTGTATCTGCTCCGGGCAATGTGGCTGCAAAGACTGTCAGACAATGTCAGACTCGCACTGGCGGGCTCCCAGAACCCCATGCTGAACAACGACAGATCTCAGCACGACCTTCCAATACCCAGTGCTCAGAAGGGCAGCCGCGCAACAAATAACAACGAGTGCACAGCTCAACCTCAAATCTCGATCAGCAGGGACTTGAGGATGCGCACCTCAAGTGCCTCGTGCAGTGCTGGCTGTTCACCGCCTGATCGTGCCGGGTGCTGCCACACTGCTGCCATAGTTTAGGGCTTCAGATTGCCAAAAGCCCAAAGCCGAGTTCTCAACCAACGTGTGGAAAAAGGTCTCATCTGGCGATGCGAAGAAGAGGACCTCGTTAAGCACCTAGAGGCGCTAGAGGCGCGGTGGCCCCGGCTCTCTTGTGGCTATGAGCATTGCTAGGTCTTCTCCACACAGAAAACAGAACCTGAGTGTTCGGCACCTCCCGTGCTAAACTCCAGCCAGTCTGGCTGATCCTGTCTCGATCGCTTGGGACCATGTTCAAGGTTGAACCATGCCGAAACAGTCAACCAGGCAACAACCAGAAAACAACCTGAAGCCGCATTGTGGCATGGGTGCATGTTGCAGACACTGCAAGTATTGGGAAGGCAACATGTCTGCAGTGGCAGCACGCCTGCCACTATACGTGGGGCCATCTGCAACGAGCTTGGCAACCTTGCCGCTGGAACCCAGAAGACAAAATTCTAACAATGAAGACTTGTAGACTGAGTGGTGCTTTCAAGCCCATTATTCATGAATAGGTTCCCTTAAAAGGGAAAGAAGGGAAATTTAAAATTATCCCGAAGCACTGCCCAGTAGAGAGTTGATGTTGCATCGGTTCCATGCCCCTTTGGTCTCTTGACCTCGTCCCCGGTCTCGCCCAAGCCATCCACCGCAAACTCCGCAAACTGCCGGTGCAGCACCTAAGAGAGCGGCCCCACGAATTTTCACCGAACAGCGCTGCCTCGATGCCTCGATGCCGAGCACATGAGGCCATGTCTGCCACACCGACATCTAAAGTCTCAAACCCGAAACCCAAATCCTAAACCCGAAACCCAAAACCCCTAAACCCCAAAATGCCCCTGCCCTCCATCCTGGCTCTCTGTCCGTAACCTCCTGAGGTTGGCGCCACGAACTGCGAGCCACTGGCGAGCGTCAAGTTGGGGCGGATGGGGACTCCATCCTGGCGCTTCGGGGTAGGGATCGTAGGGATTCTAGAGACCTTCGGGGCCTTCATTTTGGGGAGGGGGGTTCTGAGTCTAGAGGGCTTGGGGGCGTTGCGGCCGTTTTTTCACAGCTGCCGGGCAGCAATGCTTAAAACGATGCCAGGCTTGTACAAGCAAAGGACAAGCAAAAGCGCGCGAGAGGGACCTTCTGCTCCCAAAAGCACTACTTGGCACCGCGCATCAACAGCTACTTTGGAGGAGCTATCGCAAGCAGCGACGAATCAAAAGGGGGAGAACCACATGTGCGTGTGCTCAGTTGGACCGGGTTAGGAGGAGTACGACCAGGCAAGGTCGTTTGCCTCAGTGCTGAACTCAGCGACTATCTTGACCCGGAACTTCTGGTAGGTCCACTGGTGCTCAGGGAAATCCTGTGGTTGGCGATGGGGGGAGCTGTAGACCTCCGTGGAGGAGAGTGAGACCATGCGGTTATGATGAGGATTGTAGAGTGCAATTTGTCCACCATCGAAGTTGACATCAACGACAGCGAAGCGCTCTAGCGGCCACTCATTCGGCGGGGGGAGGTCGTGCGTTGCTGTCGGAGCACTTCCAACCATGTTCACATCGTCCATCTTCCAGAACCTGTTGTGCCTGGCGTTGTGAAGTGCCACCTCTCCGTTCCCTGCATCCACCACCGTGAACTTCTGGAACGTCCAATCAGATGGAAACTCCAAGTCGAAGTCCCTTTCTGGGCTGGGGTACAGTTGCCCAGTTCCATCCATGCTGATGTACCGGTTGTTGATGGTATTGTGGAAGGCCACCACAGTACCTGGCTTCAGCAGCCACGTCGTGGGCCTCACGCGGAAGCGCTCAGACGTCCAATCCGCGGGCAAGTCATCCGCATTCCTCTGGCCAGCCGCATCCACACTGTTGGTGGTCATGCGAAGGAATCGGTTGTGTATTGGGCAGTGGAAGGCGACCTGGCCGTTCCCAGCATACACCACTTTGAATGACTGATAGGTCCACTTGCCAATCGGAAAATGGCTTGCGGATTTGGGGGGACTTGCGTAGGCATCACCATCAGGACCCACGGACAAGAATCGGTTCCACTTCAGACTGTAGAGAGCAATCAAGCCACTTCCGGCATCGACTACGGCAAACTTCTGCCATGTCCAACCATCAGGAAATGGCTCGTCCCAGCCCCGGTGGGGGCTGCGAGTCATGTCGGCTTGATCAGTCATTGTCAGCCAGCGGTTTCTTGTAGGGCTGTAGATGCTGATGATGGAGCCTGGTGTTACGTCTGGCAGCACTTCTGCCGTCACAGCCCCCATATCATTCTTCCCAAAGTCTCTCAAGGAGGCGATGGCCTTGACCTTGCTGCTGGGCGACACCCAGGGCATCACTCCGAGGACAACTGTGAACTGGTCAACGATGCTGAGCAACTTAATCCGCTTCTGTGGCGACTCAAAGGGGCCGAACTTAAGCTTCATCCCCAGCTCCAACCAATTGTCCTCTAGAAGGCCTTGGATCTCGAAGGAGATCATACCGGGGTTCTTGAAGCTGAAAAGTTGGTGGAAGTCCGTGCCCGATTCAGCTTCTGCCTGGAGACCGCTCATGGCCTTCATCCTGTTCAGGACCTTCAGGACCTCCCGGCCACGCAGCTCGGATGTCTTGTTGATCCCCAGGTGCTTCCCATACTCCCCGGTCGCCAGGTAGAGGTCCTCATGATCGATCTCCCACTGCAGCTCATGTGTCTCTGGGGAAGTCCTCTTCTTCTTCTTCTTCGGGTCACTTTGGCTACTTTGGTTGGTCTCCAGTAGGGACCGGTCCATAGTCTCCACGGTACGATCGTCTTCCACACCATGGCTCCCCACGGCGGTGCCCAGAGGGTTCCGCCACGTCTCGTGGGCACCGAAGGTGTTCCCGTCCACGAAGTCCGTGTCACTGCCAAATCGCTTCTGCAGGCGGAGGGTCCGGCTGAAGAGCCTTGCAGAACCACTTCCTGTACTTAAAACGAAAAGAGTGTGCCAACACTGTGCGTGTGCATATATATATATATATAATGTTTCACATATACAAATATTCGACGTGCATATTTCGCATGAATCATAGGTACCTCACAACGTGGCACTTGACACATCGGCCGAGGGGCATGACGCCAGCTGAGCGGAACTCGGAGCGAAGGACGCTCAGGTCGACTCCCCCGGGCTGCTTGTCCGGCCAACAAACCGTGGTGTCCAACTCCTTAGGAATGGTTAGCTATGAGAATGAGGGAATTGGGGCCCCACTGCCTCTATAGGAGCTGTAAGTCCCCATATATATATATATATATACCCTATAAGGACTTTAACGGATTTTTTAGGGTACCTCATTCCCCTGCATTCCCTACTAACCAACACTAAGGCTCGGCCAATGGAGCCGGCATCAGCTCAATGTTCATGCCGCCCACAAAGGCGATGACGGGCTGCATGCCCAGGGAGTACGTCACGGTCACACACTTCTCGATCGACATCTCCCAGGTGTAGAAAGAGTAGCCTTGCCACTTGTCCCAGTTGGCCTTCATCCAATCGTTGTCGCATGGAACGCCAAAAGGTTCTAGGGGGATGAAATCATCGCCACTGTTGCCCTGCCAGTCTTCTTTAGTGGCCTGATTGTTGCTCCCATGCTTGTTCTTGGGTGCAAAGGCCAAGCAGGAACTCGTGTCAGTCTCCCTGCCATTCCACTGAGTGATGAGCCTGGTGGCATAGTTTCCTTCCTGGTCCGAAACGCCCAAAGCGATGCTGCCCTCGGGGTCTTGGTCGTCGTCACCACGCCTTGCATCCAGCTGCACAGCTGACATCTCCTGGCGAGGCAGCTTGGATCTCGGAGTGCGCTTGCGGTGCTGCGAGTGGGTCTTGATGGTGAGGCTCTTTCCCGCATGGTGCACCACCGGGGCCTGGCCGGCGTCAGGGAACCTTGACTGTGTGGCCTGCTGGATCAAGGATGCACCATCCGACATCGCCTGTTCGACCACTACCCCTGCAATTTGTGCGAACACCTCGATGAACTCCGTCAGCATGTCGCCCATTCTGGTCAAGAAGTTCAGTGGCTCAACATCCCCCAGAAGTCGCATGCCAAGACATTGGATGACTTCAGGGGCAGAGCCAGCTGGTGCACAGTCTTGAAATGCGGCACCCAAGTTGAACATGGATTTGATCGGCAATATGCCGAAGGAAGTCACCGTATTCAAAGGCTCTGGCCAACTCAGGCTGGTGCTGCCAAAGTCGAAGTCGAAGAGGTCGCAAGTCTGCCCCATGAGGCTCACCCAGCACGACTGGCGGCCCCAGTCGACATGAATCCCGTTGAGATCCACAGTCATGTCGGGCGTGCGAGTGTCTGGGCAGCCCGCACTCCAGTCCGAAAAGCCCCTCACCAAGATGTCAACGGCCATCTCCACAGTATCAATGACGGTATTGGCCACGAAACTCACCTGGGGGTTTACCAAAAAAGGGGACCCCCAAAATAGACCCCCAAATAGCAGGATCCCCTCAAAAATAAAGGACCCCAATAAGGTACCCCTGATATCGTAAACACCCACCTTCCATTGGTGCTACAATACCCCTTCCAGAATTCTTAGGTAACTTTCAAGAAATCCGAGGGTTTTGGGCAAGGGTTTAGGGCAACTGTCACACGCATATGAACCCTAAACCCGATGGAAAGCTTGCTAGCCCAGTTAGCACGGTGTGATAAAGAGTACCCTTTCGGGGCTGGATATTTTTCTAACTAGACGGGCACTCAGTTTAGCCCAAAACGGCAGAAGCGCACCACTCTTCTTCCAAGAAAAGCACCCCATTTTCAAATGCTCGGCCCAAACAATCCTAAAGCCTTAAAATCCTAAACCCTCAAAAGCCC